GCTTCTAAGACGATCGTGGCGTTGCGAGATGTTGGTGTGCTGTTATTGTTATACATTAATTTGATGTGAAACACAATAGTGGTTCATCTGCGGGTAGTGGTAGCATCATGTAGTGAATAATATTTACCCAATGTGTGTGTGTGTGTGTGTGTGTGTGTGTGTGTGTGTGTGTTTTTGTTCTCAAGAAAGAATTGCGGGCACTCTTTTGTCTCTCAGGCAAGACAGTTTACAAGAATTCTCCGAAAAGTTGATGTTGTTTTTTGAAGGATAATAAGTGCTGCTACTACTGTTGGTAATGACAACTTCGTGAGGAAAACACGCAGGAATATAACTTGGGTTGATTTTTCTCTTTCAATTAAAAGATAGGGGGCAAGGTCCTGCTGTCTGAAAATAACGCATGAACAACGACCACTAATATTGACAAACAAAAATGGGGGCCAGGGCAGTAGCACATTCCAGCATGCTTAAGTGTCTCATTTTTTCTTGGGGGCAATGTACGCAGTTTTGTTGTCTTACATGAAAAATTTTATGAGGCTCACCGAATCGCATTATTCATGATTTGACCTAAGAAGATTCGAAAAGTTATTTTCTTGCATAATTGGGAGCATCGAATACTAGTTGGAAACAAAATGATGTTTCCAAGTTTGAAATGTTACTGGTCCCGAGTTAAAGTAAAAGCGAGATTTGCTTGTTGAAGCTGTAAAGGATTTTGTTTCAATCCAAAACATCAAAGAAATGGTCATTTTGCAGTCATTATAGCAACAACCTTTATCATTTATCGTTCCATTTGAAGGTCTTTCACGAATTATTGATTCCAAGGATCATAGTCCATTTGAAGTATCAAAAGAGAGACAGTAATTAAGATAACAGTGCTATTACTACATTTCCCAAAGGGAAAGACGGGAGAGCAAGGGAACTGTAACTATAAGTTTAGGGGAGATGATTTCGTTTGTTGTAAAGGAAAGTGGTATTACATTATAGAATGATTTACATGTTATATCCTTAAAAATTTCTCTATAAATCAAACCTTTAGTTCTTTTTGTTTGTTGTCCTTTATGTTCATTGTCCAACTTAGATTGTTAAAGAACATTCTTATTCCCCAGGCTCTGTCTGCAAATATGCGCATATACAGTATGGTAACGCGTGCGCCCACAGTTCTTCACCTCAACAACCAATCCTCGAATTTCCTTTATAGCGCGCAGTTTACGGGAAACTTAAAAGTCATGACGTCATAGCTAACCTCTAATTCACCGGAGTAGTAACACTTCTTGAAGTCGTTTTACATCAATAGTTGTGAAATGCCTTTTTAAAGTGTATTTTTCTTTAGCGTTTGCTCGAAGATTCAAGTAAATCTATCGTTTCATTATATACGCTCATCGGTACCCCAACTTGCACATAATGAATGACCCGCCGTAAGTGATGTTTCTGTCTGTATTGCGTATATGTGTGTACATGTGCGTGTATATATGTGTGCGTGTATGTATGTGTGTGTGTGTGTGTGTGTGTGTGTGTGTGTGCATGTGTGTAGGATGTATGTGCTTAATATATATATATATATTATGAGTGTGCCATAAGGAGCGCATGAATCCCTGAACCAATTTAAGGTTGTTTACAAGGTTCTTTTGCAACCATCTGTATATTCATTCAATCAGTAATGGGAAATTAGGTTTCAAAAAAAATGCACTTTGCCGACAGACGAAAGAAAAGAAGCGAATGAATGGAATGGACTGCTAAAATGAATTTTCAAACAATTCTTCTGGGAGAGGAAGAAGGAGTATATAATGAGTCCAAAGAGAGGATAGATGTGTGTTTGTGTATGAGTACGTGTAACGTGTATGTGTATGTGTATGTGTATGTGTATGTGTATGTGCATATGCTTGTGTATGTGTATGTGTGTGTGTGTGTTTTGCAGACAAGAACATCTTTTATTGAAAAAATGATGGGATGATGATGATTTGCGATTGAAATGATAATAGGAGGAAGAACGAGACGATGATCAGCAGCAGTACGGGAATGGTTCGGTTCGATAAGGGAGCAAGAAACAGTATAAAGCAAAAAAAAGTGGATTATTTTTCGAACAAGTGAGCGAGCGAGAGAAGTGAATTTCTTCCAGTCGTGTTGAAGAATGCCGAGAGTGACTATTTCTTCTTTCACAAAAACAGCGCGTTGTTGGCTTAGAGAACAACAGCAGAAAAAAAAATCAATCATCCATTTATCGATGGGAAAAATGATCCGTACCACCCAAGTGATGCCAATAGTGAATTTAGCATGATGAATTGATGGTGCGAAGATTAACAGGTCAATTGGAGACAGAGCATCAGATTCTAAAATTCACAAATATAAAAAACGATTTGCTAATATGATCAATTAATAGTACATCACTTTAAATTATTTAAAACCAAATAGAAATGATAAATAGAGAACTAATAGAATCGCATGAGAACGTAAATTTTTTATAAGCGTTTACTCGAGAATTATGTCCCCTATTTCCTGAATAATTGATCTAAAATTTCGGACATTATTTTCATATTACGCTTTTGCAAATTCTGTTGACTCATTCTTTTTTTGCTACGTCGATACTTCCCATCCATTGGGAGGTTATTTCTGTTTAGCTTTGGAATTCTTCATCGAAAGACACGAATTTTAAAAAAAAATGACCGGTGTTGTTTGATTCTGTCGAGAATTTGTTTGACTTATATATATATATGTAAAACTTTGCACTCAGGAATTAACAACATTTGATACTACGTAATAATTTTATTTTACCGTGGAGGAGCAAGTTTTAGAGTGCGGGAGATCTCAAAGACAGCTATTTTTTCGACTAGGAAACGAACAGCATCTATGATAGTGCTCTCATCACCATAGGTGTCGTTGCTGTTTTCCGAGTCGAAAAAAATAAGTGATTTGAATTAATCAAAAAATTTCTTCCAATTCTCACAGGAGAAGTAGGATAAACGTTATAGGGTGGGATATATGCAATTATCGATGTATCGGAAAATGGTTTATTTTTCTCTATTATCGATGTACCGGAAAACTTTCTCGAGATTTAGCCAATGTTATCTCAGACAAAGCATGAACACTCATTTTAACATAAAGCGATAATTTATCTTCAGCAACGTCATAAATAGGACATAGATTACCTTATCGTCATATCATTGTCATGATTTCAATAGTAGTCATAGTAGCTGTGAGTAATCGCCCTATTAACGCAAAACTTCTTTCATCCAATTTACTCATCCGACACATTCAAGTTTATAATTAATTATTGTGATGAATTGTTTGTTGCTTGTAATACGTAACGATTTAACGTAATGTCTACAATGTGAAGTTGTAATGTTAGAGATTTGTGTACTTCTTTCAGATCATTCGGAGATTTATAAAGGAGACGGACTCTTCCTCTCATCATCATACTCATATCAGTTTGCGCCTCTCTTTGTCAGATAAGCGATGGTGGAGAAGGGAGGACAACAAGAAGTGAAGAGAAGATGTATCCGTGTGGATGGATATATGTGTCTATGCACTTATTATGCACTTATGTAAACAGGCCTTCAGAAAAAGACTGTTAAAAACAGGTTGAAACCCAAACTCTTCGGAGAAAGAGTTTGAAGGTTTTTTTATTGAGAATGTTCTCTTCCACTGCAACATTCCAATTCTCTCCTCTACACTAACACCCTCTCACTATCGTTTGTCTGCTACTCTTCCCCCAATGGTATTATTTATATGATTACTTCACAGGATTGGAAAAGGAAAGTTCTAGCTTGAAATTATTCAGCGGCACCTCGAACTTTACCATTCTTTATCTTTTGATAATGATAGAAGTCAATGCTACAACTGATCTAGAAAATTATACGTGAAATCTCAGGTTATAATGAAAGCTGTCAGAAGTCCGGTCCCAATCCTCTCCATAACAAATCTAACCCTCTCCGTAACAAAGCACCACTGACTTGTTCTTCAATAAAGCTCCAGTATACATGTCAAACAAAAGTATCAGTCTATCGGTTAGACTTAAGCTGCTTATTCGCTGATTAGATCGCCGATTCGGAGATAAGAAAGAATTAAACTGTCGAAGTTGTAGGCAAATAAAAGAATCAAATGTCTGACAGTCTGAGTTCATTTTGAAAAAGTTTTTGCTTAATAATGGTGAGGCCGCATTTAAATCAAAAATGCGATTTATTCAGTATCCCACTAGTTCTTATATTTCTTGCATTGCAAATGGAAACTGTGTTTGCTTTACATTGCTAAATTTCAGCAAATTTCGAAAGAGCAGGAATAATGAGAATTCCACTCTTTGAGAAAGTTTATTACTAATTCCTGAATTAACAGCAAAAGAGGCTTTGAAACAACTTTTACAATGATACAGTCCAAAAATTAAAACTGTATACTTTACTTTTAATCTTCGCTTTTATTAACAAAATATTTTTCAGTATATAGCGAATCAAATTTAACAAATCCGTAAGATTGCTGAATTTTCCAGAAAGTCCTGACAGCAGGAAATTCGAAATGGTGTTTACTACAAATTGTGCGACTTCCATAATAGATAATCTCTCCGACAAAAAAAGTTATGACTGGTAGGATTTCGTCAAGTTATCATCCATTTCATTTGAACATCACAAAGTGTTTTTGTATATGATAGTACTTCCCAACTCCTTTTTTTATTGTCTAAAATTGTTTGAAACGATTGAATAAGCTGTAAATACTGCCATAAATAATCCTTGGGAAGATAGTCGCATCCTGAACAATGAGCTATGAGGTTTAAAACTGCTAGACTATGTTAATATGAATTTGTTTACCGATATCAAAACACATTCGTGAAACTGCAGAGCTATGCCAGCGTTGTTTATCTGTCTATCAGTAGGAGAAATGTTAAATGTAGCACTTGGTTTATTTTAAAATATATATTAATATTAACAACAACAACATCTGGCAGTAAAAGTATCACAACACGCAAAGTTGAAATTGAATTAGTATAAAAATTATTGGTATTTTTGGAAGAGAGTTGTTTATACCCATTCTTCTTCAACAAAACACCCAGCGGTCGATCCTATTTGTACCTGAGGCACAATATGTTCCTTGTAGTTGTATGGTGCATTAATGAATGGCTTTGTAATGCATACGGAACAACTTGAATTACGAGTCTAAAACATGTTTGAAACTTTAAATCTGATTTGCAAGTTACGCAGCTTTGCATTATTTTATAAAATTCACTTATTACATTTATGAATTTATGTTTGTGAATTTTAGCGCCACCTACTCAACTTACTGGAAACCGTGGAATTTAAGGAATGGAAAATATACACCATCCACTGTTAAACGATTACACTGTAAGTACCATATAGTCCTTTATGACATAATAATTTACTTTGTGTAGTATCGTACATATCGATTCAAGCGTGAACGGGTAAAGAATGGAAAGAGCGAGTAATATATTAAATAATGCATTGAAGTATGAGTTCTGTGTTGCGGTAAGTCCCGAGTTATTTAATTGGTTAATATGAGTGGCTGCCGCATAGCAGTCCAATGAATACAGTACTGCTATTAATAACAACCATCTGAAACACACTAATAATGCTAAGCAAAAATCTTTGCATTCATGATTTTCGGAATTTCAAAGAGATTATCGAATTTTAATTTAATATGCAAGGGAATATTTAATAAAAATTTTTGCGCTAGGAACAATTTTTGATTGAATAACAATTTAACTGTTCAGAAATGATTTCGGAAATCGGAATTTAAATTTAACTCTAATTTGCGATGAAAATAAAAGTAGGAAATGGCGAACGCGTACTTAACTTTTTAAATACCCTTACATTATGACATCCTAGATAATATAAAAGTAAATTTTCTTACAGGAGTTGTGTTGTTGCAGCGCTTGCCTTTTTACTCAAATCAGCAGATGTAGTTCCATTTCTAGTTAGTGAGATGTTTCCTTCAGAACTTTTGTTGTCTATATATTCTGAAATGATTCTTAAAAGTTGTTTATTTCTGAAAGTATAACATAAAAATAGCGCCCTCAATTTCCTTATCATGGCAATCAGAGGAATACCATACGCAATGAAGTACATCTCCATAATTGCTCCATATAATGCTACCTACAACATATTCTATAAAATTATGATGTTTTTTTCCTTTTCTTATCAACATATCCAAAGAGACTTGAACATTTCATGGGTCTCAATCAATGAGTGGCTATTATTAAAGGGTAGCAAGACACATGAAACTTTAATTACGCTCTTCTATTAGTTGCCAAACGAAGGTCAGGTGATTTGAAAGAGCAATCGGGAAGCGAAATTAAAATGAATGACTCAAATATTTCGAGAAAACTATGGCGATCAATAAAGAACATGGTTTTGATAGTCCACAAACCCAAGGAGGTGCTGTGGTCGCTAACAAAAATAAAAGTACATATTTATAATTTGCAGAAACAATTAATATTTGAAGAAAAGTTTGACTCGCAGTAAAACTATATGCATAAATGACTTATGTGCTATGAAGGATTTCGCCATTTAAGTACGGCAAATTTACAAACTTTGTTATTGATTAAATTGTATCATTAAAAAACTAACGTTGAGATATGGTTTCAACAGATAATCGTCTTGCTGTGATAAGTAAACGTAAAATGATGGCAATGATCCCCAATATAAAGATGGCGCAAATAAACAAAGGTACGTAAATGGCGTACGCAAATATTTTAATATGCATCGTTGATGAAGGAAAGCAGCTATAAATTTAAAATAAATTTCACAACTTTAGATTTAAATTTCAACTCACTTTTAAAGAAAAATAAAATTAAGCTCAACAACAGCTCTAATCTCCTCCAACCATTTTCGAAATTTAATCAAAAAAATCTTTGAAGTAAAAATTTTCAAAAATTGACTTATCACAACACTTTGATTAAACCTTACAATTTTGGTGACCCGTTGCGTGATAAGGTATTGGTAGCTAACACAGTTGACATGGCAATCAGAGGAATACCATACGCAATGAAGTACATCTCCATAATTGCTCCATATAATGCTACCTACAACAATCACTTTTCACGAACTGGGCATCTCGATTCCAAAAATACTAAAAATTTTTGCTTCTATAAGTTAATTCTGCAAAGAGAACATTCTCAACATTTTTACCTTTTCACCTTCGGTGTAGAGTTTTTCATCATCTTTGCTTCGACTGTAATATCCTACAATCTTGCTGAGTTTTTCTCGTAACAATCTAAAATTCAAATTTCAATTAACCTTTTTCATCCAGTAGTAGCAATTTAGATGTGTCTGAAATTTATTATTAAAACTTTTGTTAAATTACTACTTATTACATACTTAAAAGCTTGCATAATCCAAAAATAAACAGTAAGAAAAAAGAAATGCTGAGCGACAGTAATTGCTCGACATGTTTCTGGATCAAGAATTCCGTTATGGGAGAATGAATATAGTGCACATAGAACAAATATACAAGCGCACATATTAACAATCACTTGTTGACTCCTTTGTGAACAATGGGTGGATGCACTGAAATTTATTAAAAATAATTTTAGGACAAGAAATTAAACTTAATTTTAACCTTTAGAATAATAATATACACTATTAGCATAGCAGTAAAAGTAAACAATATTGATAAAAATACGAACCAGAGTAAGTACACGTTAATAATAACGGTCAAAAGCATTACTGAAGCCAAAAAACCGGATGATGCACATATATACCATGTTAATTTCACTGGTTTTCTTGTTGCAGTAATTCTGAAAATAGATTAACTTTTGTACTTTTTTGTATTTTTCATTTTGAATTTTAAAATTCTCTTATGTAACAAAATTATCTCAGCATCTGTATCGCTATAATAACACTGCAGTACTCTTGTAAATCTTCTAAATTTGAAATCTAAAAGCTTGTCGAACAATAAAATATATTTGCTGTAATGTTTTTTTAGATAACTTTGTCGAACATTCATCGAATTATGATTTTGAATTACTTTCGTGAAATTTTTAATAACTTGCATCCTTTCCTACATTAAGCACATGCCGAAATTATTAGAGTAATTCAGTACTGCATTAATATATAAACACGCACATGATAATTATCTTTTTCATGTTGTCATTATAAACCATTTCTTTATTAGCTTAATAATATAGCCTAAATTTGATATTAAAGCAAATTTACTAGAAAGAAGCTTTCTATAACAAATATCAATGATACTTACAATTCTTCACAACAAGATGTATTCTGCATTGCTGCAAAATATTTGATATTTTCGTTTACATTCTTGGTAAAAAACACTCGGGAACAAGCAAAAAGAATATTATTTGGTCCCACTCTTCGCAACAAACAATTCGTCTCTTCGATTAGTTTCCATCCCTCTTCATCATCCCATACACCTAGTTGGATCTGAAATACAATATTATAATACTACAGTTATCACAGTTCAAAGTAAATTCGAGAACAGTTTGTTGTTATAGTTAGTCGCCCTTACAGTTAGTTAGGCACGAACTACAATTCATTTTGCAGACAGTCACAACTAGGACCTTCTGCATTTCATTGTTCCATGATAAGCTTATGATGTGAACTAAAACAGCACTCAAGAAATAGCAAGAAAAATACTGGATCAGTCAGTCAATCGGAAGATAGTGTCAATCTTCCAATTTATTTGTACTGTTCCTGATATTGTTTCCTCAACATTTGCACCTGCCTCATCCATGTATATTTCATTTAATACCACCATGTCAAAATTTTCTGTCAAGCCTGAACTTCAATAATGTTGTCCTGCGATAAAGCTTAATCACCCAAAATGACATTACATTACTGATATCTTTTAATATTTTCGTAGTATTTCACGAATATTTTTAATTGTTTATTGGAAGAACAAATATACCTGATCCTGATCCATTGTCTTATTAATATGATAACTAATTAAAAATCCATAAAAATCATCATTATTTCCGACCCCGGACATCTAAAAATACAAATATCAAGATTCATGCAAACAAAAAATATGAATTATAACGAATCTAAATCGGACTAAATTTTTTGATAAAATTTATGCAACCTCTTTAGGAATACTGCCTGATTTTGATGACTTGAGAGGAATATGTTTGATGGAAACACCATACACTTCACTTATAACAGTCCATCTTCCATCTAAGGTATGTCTACTTTTAAAAATTTTCGAATTAGATAACCATAATACTCGAACAATGCTCAGTGATGGAAATTGATCAATTGTTGGGTGAGGAATGCGAACTGATGTCCCACCTATAAATAAATTAACAATTTAAATTCTAAGTCGAGTCCAAATCTAAACCCAAACTTTACTGAAAATCTGAATCGAAATTGAGTAAAACAATAATCTTAACCTGTTTTTGGTAGCAGTTCAACGAACTGTTGTTCTCGACATGAAAATTTCGAACCATCATATAAGGCTAAGAAACCACCCTTCATAATTTCAGCCGCTGTACCATTGTAACCTTTAGCGAATAGATGTTGACATATTGCTAAATTATCCTCCTGGATAATTTGGTCACCGAGGAGTAGTTGCTGTAGGTACTGACGCATCAGTTTACCTTAACTAATGTTTTTGTGACACTGAAAGATTCTTCCTCAACAAATTTTATCCAAATTGTTGAAATTTGGCCTTATTATAGACGTATCAGAATTTTTGCATGCCATGCACACCACGTAGAAATTATGCAATACTAGTTTTTCTGCTCCTACAATAGTTCGTTTCATGATTTGCAAAGTTTTTACTAAAAACTATTTTTGATGGAATTGTATTGTCGCCTAGTGTTTTCTTTAACTTTATTACTAATAATTATAAATCTTGAAAAAATCCCAATGTCGATTTTGGACGATGATGAAATCAAACTTCCAATCATTTCTTGCTGCATTCGTGACAATCAGCATAAATGCAGTAATTTGCATCAAAATGTTGTAGTTATTAATGAGCTTGATAACTAAGAATTACTTCTAAAAAATGACCCATCTACCTTAATTATTGCTAAAAATTGGCACTAATGACATGATAATATATACAAGTCTTTCGAAAAGGAAAGATTACGGGCTAAATTTTTTTGCGTGTTTCCAATAATTTAATATTGTAAACGATCTGAGCTTTCAACAATGAGGAGGTGAAAGACAGCCAATTTCGACTTGCAGGAAACAGGTGAAAGAGAGCTATTTTCATTCACCATCTTAGTAAATAGTTTTTTTTTCCTAACGATAACATTGCTAAAGAGCCGTTATCGTGTAGTGCAGTTTAGTAATGAATGCATTGCATATGTCATTTCCACTTCACACTTTGAATTTTTATCGTTACATTTGTATTGTCTGATGGTTTCAAAATATTACAGGGCGTGTAGGATTTCAGTATAGGATTTTTCGGCATTAATTTTAGAAGAAATATATCGGGAACTGAAATAGGGGCTTTTAAGAAGCGGTAATAGTATCATGTATGTGAAGAACAAATATAATATAAGTTGAGAAATATGAATGAACTGATGCGAGTAACTCCTAAAAGTCAATTTTTTTTTTGAAAATGTTGAAATACCAAATTCCTATTCTAAAAAAAACAAGTTAATGTTCCCAAAATTTAAAAGAAAAAAGAAGAGAGGAGAAAAAGAGACTTTTATAAACATTTTGTAAATTCCTGGTTTGAAGTGCTGCTATCGCTTTCTAGGATTTTTTTTATTCAAATGAAAAATTCTGCAAATTAATTATACAGCAAAATAGCAATTATTACCGTTAAGTTCAGTGCGGACAAATTCCGATTGTAAAACGAAATTCAATGCAGCTAGCATTTGTCGACTAGATAAACCAGTTGCATTACCTATAAGCCAGCCAACGAGACGAGTTTCATAGGCGGACATTTCGATTGGCCGCCTCTTTATTCGAAATAATTCGTCCACGTACTGGAAAAAATAGCAATTCTGCATTCTCCTGCAGAATGTTTAAAATAAACTCTTTGAGGTTTTTTTGATTGCTTGCTGAAGTTTTATTATTTTGTAACGTATTTTCTTCACATTATTATCGAACAGTTACAAGTTTAACAAAAACTAAACATACCTGAGATGTTTGTTTATGTTGCAACAGTGTTAGGAAATGTTTAATTAGCGGGGAAGTATAAGCACATCGACTTGTGTCTGGTATTTCCCATTTTCCATATTTACATCGTCGATATGCTCTGGCGTTCGCAGGACCATTGGGACATTTGGCCGTAACTAATCCTTGCTTAGAAACTGCCCAAATTATTTCACCTTTTTCATCCGCATGCCATTCCTGAAGACTGGAATGTTTAAAAGTTTGAAAGTTTTGAAAACCTTTTTAATTATTCAAAACTGGTAAAATACCTGTACACAATAAAGCGTATTCACCAGCACTGGTGTCATATGTACTGTATTCCTTAACACCGATCGGTCCTGTTCCACATAGCATGTCCAATCACCTTCGTCTTCCCAAATCACTGGATTCAAAGAGAGTTTCAAGTATCTGAAGTTTTAGAATAAGTCTGCTTTGGCAAAAGCAAAAAAAAAGTTTATATAGAAATTTTCTCTTGGAATTCTTTTCAATGTTATTTGGATGAGTAAACAAAATGATGTTTTAAAAAACAATAGTGGAAATAGAATAGAATGGCAGAATTAGCAATGTAACCAAAGGAGAATGGCGAATAATTAAGCAAGAGAGGAAAGAGGGATTCCATTTCATTAACTGGCATTAGAAATATTTTTAATTCTCTAAAACTACAATCACATGAAATTTCGCATGTGTTGGTATAAAATTACATACAGAAATTCACTATCATTGTAGTATGTGGTAAATAATCGTGAAGAATCAGCCAAAGGAACGTTATTTTTCAGCCATTCCATTTGTACATTGTTGGATTTCGACACTTTGCATGTGATATTCTTCTCATCACCCGGATATACTACCAATGATCGTGAAGTAGGCTCCAAATCGAACACAGCCGGATTAAAGTCGCCTAAAATATTTCTTCCCTTCCATGAATACACCTTTTTATTTTTTTTTAATTTAAAATATTTTATTCACAAATTCACCTTTTCCACAACTTCTTTTCAATGCCTTTACACTCAGTCTTGCAACCTCTATTCCTCGAAGTGAATGAGGAAATATGCAAACTGTCCGATCTGAAACTTGCACTTGCTGATCCTGAAACTTAGCCAGTATTTGTTTTTGCAAATGGTCCGCGTGGAAGTCAAAAAAATCATTTCAGACAGTTTAATGTTATAAGCAAGCAATTTTCTTTAGGTTTTCAACAAAGTGAATGAGAAAAGAAATCTTTTGCTTAACCTTAATAAAACGAAGTAAGTGAGCTATTTGACAGTCACATGATAGCTGATTTGACATAATACTTATTCTACGAAGCTTGCCAAGTGATGCAAAAGTTCCATCCGGAAATGAGGATAGCGGATTTGAGTCTAAATTTAACTCCTCCAAGGATTCCAATTCAACAAATGATAAACGATCCAGTGCGTGCAATTGATTATCGTTTACTAAACTGAAATGGTTAACTTCTTTTATGTTAAAGACTTTCTCGTTCCTTTTTTTCCAGATATTTGTATTTTTTTCCAAAGAGAAGAAAGATATCAATTATGATAAATAATGATAATTTGAAGATCTTCTACAGAATTCAGTTTTTTTTTTTTTTATTTTAATGGTAGTCTCTCTGAGCCTAAATGTCCTACTCGTAACTCGAAATATAAATTGTCCAGCTCTATAAATATAACGTACAAAAAAAAATGAAACTTGTAGATATTTGACACTGCGCTGTCCCTTATCAGAGTTATTTGACATATTATAGGAATTATGCATAAATCCATATTTCTTAAAAGCGATAATCTACACACTTATTGAAAAAATTTAAATGACATTTCAAAATACTTATGAAGTTATAACAAAATAGTAAACTGTACAATTATCATTCTGAAATTTGATTCACAAAAATACTTACAGAATTTTAAGATTTGATAAAGTTCTGAAGGCACCGGGAGATATGAACATCAGCGCATTGTGAGATATGTCCCTAAAAAAATTGACTTTTCATGAAGCATTTAAGAATGCTAAACTAAATCGAGTATTCTAATTATCAAAATTTGGAATTTACAGTATTTCAAGAGTTTCTGGATGCCGCAGTGATGAGAAAGAACTGGAATTGATTGATTGAAAAGCGTTCCCACTCAAATTCAGCAGGTGTATTTGACCTCCAATTGTGCTTGGATAAAATTCGGATATGGGTGCTTTCAATCGAGCAATTTGAGCAATTCTCTAAAATAAGTGGTTTGTATCAAATAGCTTTTATAATTCAAATTTATATGTTTTTTTCCAAAGTTTTTAAAATAATGCAATGGGATATTTTGAGATAGAAGAAAGCGCAAAGGAGACTTACATTAAAACGCTGTCCAGAACAATCTACTACAGTGGTCTCCGCTAGATAAGAGCATGGAGTCCAGTTGCAGTTTACTAATATTATTAGAAAAGCAGCGCAAACGGTAAGAAGACAAACGAGCCTGTTAAATCTTTTCATCTAAACTTTCTAATAGTTGAATTATGATAGTTCTGGAATTAAAAAATAAAATAAAAGGTATAGGGAAATCCAAGAACTTGCAAAATACGCCGATATCATACTTGAGGAAAATAAATCAACTGTAATTACTTTCTAAAATGGAGAAACTTCTTTCTTCCATGATAATAAGTAATGTTAAATAAAAAATCATCCAGACCCACATTTCTATTCAGAAACTATTTTTTTACTAATTTTGAATTTATAAAATATCTTTGTATAAAAACTTGCTTAATATTTTCATTTTTTTTTAAAGCAGCAAAAATTGGTAATTAATCAACGAAAAAAGCTGGATAACAGATATATTCAAAAACAAGGTAATCAATCGTCCTAATTATTCAATGACTGAATGATTTGAAAAACAATGTTTAATTTTTGAAAATACTGAACAAACTTTGAGTTTAATTTAGCGCTTAATTAAAAGCGCTAAATCGATAAGATTAAAAGATACAATGAAATGAATAACACGCACATCCATTAGCTAACATAATTTGCGCATGAAACATTGAATTAAGAGAATTTCTGCTACAAAAGCTACAAATGCAGCAGTGGCATCTTTCGACGGCACGCTACGCCAAATATTTGTGCGATGAAAAAAAGCTTTGTGAGATAAAGGAATGCACCAAAATGGCAACATTTGTATGTAGGAGATAGTATCATTTGCATAAATCATTGCACTTTTTTGGGATTGAGTGCGGGGGGGAGGGGGTGGCATATCAGTGATGGAAGTCATCCAGCAGTTCAGAAGCAAAAAGATGACTTAAAATGTCAGGTTTAAAAAAATTTTTTATTGTTTCTCATAATCAAATTACTTATTGTCATCCGTTTTTATTGTCTTTTGTATTTTTGATTCTGACAGATATGTTATCCCTTTTTGTTGAAATATTTGCTCAAATAAAATTCGTCCTAATTTTATTAAAAACAACTTTTACATTCAAATTTCTTTTAATTTTCATCTACCTTTAAATTTAATGGTATTGATTTCAATTTTTGTTTTTAACACGGATTAACTAACATTTTAAACTTCTATTTTAAACCATTATATTAGTATTTTATGATTTTAAAATCCCTATTTGGCTTAATATTTAAGTCACTTTTAATTAATTAGCTTTTGATACGTTGAAAAATTATTAACATTTAAATTAATGATAATTTTTTATGAAATAGAATTTAAGCCATTTTTGGTAAAATAAAATCCGTTCCGAAAATATTTTTAAATAGAAATAACAACGAAAACTGTTGCTATAGCAAGTAATGAATGAATGAAATGAATGCAACGTTGACGGTAAAATGCAAAATATGAATGGAAACAAGTGTGACACTAAAGTTTAGGGAATAGTTCCGAAGAATTAATTAATTAAAAAAAACACGAGTGGATGGCCAGTACACTCAACTCACATAGCTGTAGGGAAGTGATTTTCTTTTGTACGTCCTGCGGAGGGATAACAAAGAGGAGTAGAACCATTAATTTAGCCATTTCTCAAAACTACAAAGTCGTCTTTGTCTGACATTCATTAATTTTAGAAGACTATCCATTTTGGATCAATTAAAGAGAAAAAATCGCAACTTTTGCTCATCAATTAGAAAGTCCAGGAAATTGCCAATTTTAATTAATTGAATCTAACCTCTAATTTCTTTTATCTTTGTTATGATGGCAAATAGTCTCTCGCATAATAACCAAAAATGTTGAAACAATAATTTAGGAGATTATTTTGCAACTTTTTCTGCATAAGGAATTGAATTTTTCTCAAAGCTTCGGTAAATTAGGCCTTTTCAGAATTTGATTTTCTCGGGAATGGGAAATATCTCTGCATTCGGTACAAGCAAATCTTATGTGTGGATAAATTTGTTTAATTTGAGAAATTCATAAAATTTGATGAAATGTTATATTTTGCCTCGTAATAAATTTAAATAAATCGTTACCTTAGATGTCCACCGACAATCAGCTCAATTAACAATGTATAAAAAGCTTCGATAGATTAAAACACTTTTTTCTTCAAGGAAATTTTGAATTGTATGCATGGGGTTTAGTCCTTTCTATAATCTAAATTTTGCAACTTTAACAGGGAACTTAAATTGCTTATTTACAAGTCGCCCATTCAACTGTCCACTTGCTGTCTTACTCGTTCATTATCGAGCGTTCGTGAACATCAGAAGCAGTGGTTTGTACCATTCATATAATCTTTAAGAAAAAAAGGGCGTTGAAAGAGTAGCAAATTAACTTTGACACAGAAATTACAACCGGAAAAGAATTGAATTGTGAAGAGAAGGAAGAAAACCCACTGAAAACCCTCTTAACCTGCGGACATCAACAGATCGTCGATAGATATGCCTTCGAAACGATTGCGTATCACCACTCTTATTCTTATTTTAGGTGAGTCTTTCTTTTTTATGAAAAATAAAACCCTGCCGCAGCAATTACTTCTTTTAAAAAAAAAATTCCAAAATGCTTTCATGATCTTTTAAAGAAACCAGCAACTTTAATATAAATAGATTTAGTAAAAGTAATTATTTTAAAATAACTAAATAAATTAATAGTTTCTAAATGCATAATTATTTAACATTTTAGATGAGCAATCTTTTTCCTGGAATTTTTACTTTAATGTATACATGATGAGCCAGTTTCTTTGTTTTCCCTTATATTTTGTATTTAATTGTAGGAAAATTAAGAAGAAATTTTCTCTACTTGATAAAGATTCAACATGTGACTTCTCTTTCATGACAGCATTACTTTTATTTATGTTTTACTTATTGTTTCAATAAAATTTCTCAATTCTTATCATGTAAATATTAGTATTTTAACAATTTTGCAGCATATCAAACTCCAGCATAGTTGTCGAGATTTATCTTACAACATTTGAATTTATCTGCTGTACTTGAATTCTCGCATACTTTTTCAATTGCTTAAATTCCTTTTGTTGTAGAATGCTTACTTCATGGCGGTACTGTTCCTAAATCTTTACCGGTATTTAATCCAAATTTTCACTATCCAAAACTTGCTTAGAAACTTTTTAAGCAATATTGTTCGTAAAGCAACAATACTTGTTAGAAAAATTTTATCCAAAAATTAAATGGTTCAAATTCTAAAAACTAACACAATATAATTATACCTTTTATAACTTCACCGTCAAAACTTTTTTTGTGACATTGAAGTACCTTCGGATGTCGGGAAATTTTTTCAACTTTTCACACTTTAAAAAGGGTAAAATGCCAGAAATTTACAAGATAGGATGTGGTTTTATCTATGTAATCGATGATAATGCCAAATATGAATTCCTTTCACTTGTGAACGACTAATTTCATTTAACGAATTACCGCCCCAAATAATGAAAACAATGACATCTGACTTTTAATCCAATATGTTCCAAGAACGCGTGCATCAATTCAACACTATTTCATCATATCATTGCAATTATTCCAAACACACACACACACACAAACACGCATAAATATACATGCATGTATATGCGTACATACTCATACATTCATGCATGCAACACATGTAGCCCGACGTCAATAAGAAATTATTCAATCCTGGTTTCTCTGCTCTCGATAAATAGGAAACCGGTCTTCCTGATCTTCCAGTTTTAAAATTATTCTGTTAAGATTTGCAATTTCAACCAAATTAAAACATGTTCTATGCAATCATCAATAAAGGAATCACGTTGTCCTTGCCTGACACACATTTTGCATTATATTCCAGGTAACATATGTTTAATCGATACAGTATCCCGCGGTGCAGCGTTCCGTTCAAAACGACAAACATACAGTTATAATGAATCACTAAAGCAATATGCAAGAGTGCATCCAAAGACAAAGATTATAACCGGTACGGTTGGACGATACGCACCGCATGAATGGCCTGACTGGTAAGTATCATAAATTTAGAATAAGCGGCTTAGATTTGAAACATTCACTTTTCTTTTCAAATGTTGCTTTTTGAATTCAGTCTGTAAAAAATTGAGATTTTACATCTCTAAAGCCAATTTCAGATAATTTTCAAAACAAAGATTTAAATGGGATGAGAAAAACAAATGGTTGGAATATTGTATTGTGGGATCAATTAAAATACAAGCGAAATAAGAAAATGTAGAAATTCTCTATTCGATAGTTTAACTCAAAGAGAATATGTTATTTCCAAGATTAAAGAACACTGAGGTCCAAATTGAAAGTGCAGTATTTGAATAGCATATCATTTTTTTTTTGATAGTAAAAATTTTCGAAGATAAAAGAAAACATAAGCCAATTTCAGGTACACACGCACTTTATTTAAATGGAATGGAGAATTTCGTATGGGACCATATCATCCAAACGATGCACTCTATGAAAAATATCAACGTTCTAAAATTCAAGGCCTGGATTCAAGCAAGCTACGACGATTGTAACGCTTTCAACATTGCAATTACTTTCTGAAAGTGATGTAGAATTTTAACTCGTCACTCTTATTTTTAATGTTTTCTTTCTATAATAATTTGATGAAGTTTTAATTGTTGAAAGATTTATCATATCTTGAGTGAACCGATATATTTAATTTCATGATGAAACAATCAGTATCATTTTATCCTTTCTGTTAATTTGGGCAGTGAAAATGTTGTTTGCATAATTATAATTCTAATTCAGTCTATTCCAATTATGCTTTAAGCAAAAAGAAATCTACATTAGGGTGACTTTAAGTGTTATAATTCTATAGATTAATTAAAAATTTGATCTGTTTGATTATGACAGAAAAAAATTGGCGAATTTCAATCAACATTTAAATAAATTAATAAACGGGTGGAGGAAGAAATTTTACCAACTACTGAAAACAAAACAAAAAAAATATATATATATGATAAAAAATCACCTTATCGATTACTTTTTTACTTCCCAATAGAATAATATCTCATATAAAAATTCATTTAGAGACTGAGATTGTCGCAAATGAAAGCGAAACATTTTGGATTTGAGATGCATAGACAATGCATAAGCAGCGCGTATTTATGCTTCGCTGAAGCTGCGCCGAAAATTTTTTTCTAACCGATAATAGATCATATCAAAGTTAATTTAATTGTGATTCTTAATTTAGTACAATACTGAAATGGTGAAATTTCCGAGATTGAAAATAGGATCAATGAAATGGTCTTCACTTATTAATTGTTGCTTCAGCGTGCGGAAAAATGTTCCTTATCTCTTCCGCTGTCATTATTTTCTTAATCTCCATTGTTTTTTATTTTTGTTATTCCAGCTATCCAATTGGTTAAAAACAAATTTTTTTTTGACCATAGTTATTATTTGCTTGACTTACACAAAGTGAAACTGATTGGGAAGAAAACAGCGTCAATTAAGTATTTTCGTACTCAATCTAAAAGATGAGATTACCATTACAAAAAGATCAAAATTTTTTCATAAAATGCGAAAATTGACTGTTAGTTTCATTTTCGCTTCATAGTAAAATGAACGTAGGAAGTTTAAATAGAACTTGTTTTTACAGTTTTTTAATAAATTTTACAGCAATGCTTTCTCCGGATTTTATTATATTCATTGTATCATACATTCTTGCATCACTCTGGTAGTTCAAATAGTTCTGCCAAATGCTTATTATTTATTCAGTAATTGAAATATCTTTTAAACTTCCAATTAAAATTCAAATAGAAAATATTTGATGGCAGTTTCTACTTGTTAGCATTTTCCGAAATCATTCCTGATTAAACTCACTGCTTGAATTTTTGTATACTTCCGCTAATGCTAAATTTCTCGGATTTTAATTAGCATAACTTCGGCTTATATGGAAGCAATCTTGCTTTCTTACGCATTTATCGGAAATAAATTACTCAAATTCAAAATATTGCCTGAAGGATGATATGCAAAAATCGCCAACTTTCATTCACTTTATAATGGTCAGAAGTTACTGCATCTTTTGTAGAACAGACACAAATGGTAGTACTGATCAGAGTATCAGAGTACTCGCAAGTTACTCTTTTTTAATTAAAATTAACGAAAAGAAAAGCAGTAATAAATATGTTAGTTTTACATATCCCAAATACAAACCAGCAAGAAGTTGGACGAGCTCATTTATCCTTCATTAATGATCCAAAGCCAAAAAGGATTTGAAATTCATCTCTAGCTAAAGAACAGAAGTTGCACGCAAGTCAAGAAAAAGGCACTTAATTCCTGACTTGGACAATATCCATGTGATGATGGAAATGAAGCACAGGAGGAATGAATACAAAATAGGACAAACAACCAGTTTCCTTTTCCTTTTTTTAAAGACCATATAAAGTAACAGATAAGAGGTAAAAATACTTTAAATTTTCAAATAAAAATTTAAAAATGAAAAATCGGTTATATCAAATTATATGGTCTGATTAACGATCAATTTGGCAAACTGATTTACTTCGATTTTTTGAAGCATTTTTTTATCTATTGCTACCAGTAAAAAAATAGTCATATCAATAATTTCCAGCAAAAATTAGTACGACAAATACTAAGATAAAGATGGATGAAGACAGCGATGGCTGTTTTGTAAATCCGGCAGATTCAGCTAATGGATAATCGTTGCATAGTTGTCCAAAACACCAGCATAATTCAATGGTACGATTCGAAGCGCGTCTTGCTAAATGTGGCGGTAATAGTTTATACGCAGGCATTCTGCTACACGAGGTATCTGAAACAATCAAAGAATAGAATAATAAGAAATAAAAAACGAAGACCTCTTCCTCTATTCCAAATTTAATAAAGTACATCGGTTTATTTCTTTTGCAAGGAAATGCTATGAAAATTTCCCTCATTAAAAATGAATTCATCTTAATAGGAAGCAATAAAAAGATAAGACACTTATGAATACGAGGAGGGCCTTCTTCCTCAAGCGTATTACATCAATTTGGAATAAATAAAATGAACTTAAAACACTTCACAATGCAAGTGACCAAATGGAAATAATTTAAGGATTACTCAAAATTGAAATTCTAAATCTCCTAAGCAGACATTATTATTGATTCATTAAGAAATTATAACTTAATTTCAGGAATTGAAATTGAAAACATGAAGCTTTTTTGCATAAATCAGCAAAATAATTTATTTCTAAAAATTTAATTAAATAAATTTTCTTCTCGTGATTTGAATAAATAACATGCATAGGAAGAAAAATCGAATTACCTGAAGCAGAAAAGCTATCAGTGGATGGTGTGGGACCATATTTAAACACAGAAGAAAAGCATCCACGAATAACATTATTTCCAATGTGATGTCCTAAAATTTCTTAAATATAGCAAACCATAATTGCATTGATAATTGCATTCTTTCTGAATAAATTTCAAAGGAATATTTTATAATCAGGCAAAAAATAAAAATCAAACCTGCTAAAATACGAGGTTCGATGACGGTAATACATAGGGAATGGCTGCAAGTTGTCACACCGATAGGTACTTTAGATGGCATATCGTAGCAATAATCGGTGAAATTCATTGGCATAAAGTAAATCTTAACATTAAAATTCAATAAACTTACTGAATTTTCACAAAAAATAAGTTTTTTTTGGATATAATATTATGTCATTTAAGGCAATAAGATTTTCCCAATTTAGGTTCAACTGCAATTGCAATCTTATCAACGAAGTTGCTAATTAATATCATCTAATTTTAAATTCTACCGCAATATGGCGATATTTTTTCGGCATTCTGAAAATGTTGAAGCATATATGCCTCTAACTTTCAATTATTGATTCCATCTTGACATACAATAAGGTATTGGGGGAATTTTTGGGAAATTTTAATATTACCATAAATATTGCGCTCTTTATACAAAAGATGTATCAAAGTATCAATTTTTATAAAGCTTGGAATAAACTGACAAAATAACAATTTATAATTTAATACGCTGAAAAATTCAATAATGCAATATAGCAATATTGCCTGTATCTTGCAGCAAAGGAAAAGATGTTATTTCATAAATCTTTGAGCGACAAATACAGTCGTTTTGTAAATTAAAGTAATATATTTTCAAAAATTTCTCGTTTTTGCTTCAATTTTTCGCTTTTCCATTAAGACTTTAAAAATAGCCATAAAACAAAAATTTCAAATATATAAAATTACAAATCATTCGACATTTCTAAGTCTGTTTCCGTCAATTAATAAGCAAATTAATAATGTGATCAATAATGATAATAGCTTCCAATCTTATGTGCCATATTTGTCCTATCAGGAAATAATCTATCCAATTAAAGTTTTTGTTGATGAGCATTGTTGTCCCAGTTATACAGAGAAATAAAACAGATGAAAATTTTGCAATAAACTCAAAATATTGAAGTATCTTCAAAAGAAATGTTTAAATTTACATGCATTGCATAGAATAGTAGAAGTTTAATTAATTTATATAATTTCCTATATTTATATGATTGGTTTTTCAATCCAATCATTGAAGATGAGCCATAAAATTTTAAAATCATTCCCATCTTCTTCTTATCCCTCGTCATGTCTTCTGCATGCCTTATTATTAATGGATCTTTTAATGAACAATAATAAATTAAAAAAAATGAATAACAATTTTTTTCCTTTTTCCCTCTGAATTGTAATTTCATTTCGAATTTCCATCATACCTTCTCTTTCACCTATTACCACTCTATGATTAAAAATTCATGACTTTTCGCACAAAATTATGCAAACAGCAATGTGATGATCAATTTTCTTCTCTCGTACCTTCTTATTCATCCGTTGTATTCCGCAATCAGCAGGAAATGGGAACGCAGCAACACTATTGTTACTATTCCTTATAGCCTAAACGTACTTCCCGATTTGTAATGCGATATTGTTTTTTAAGCATTTCTTTTTTCTTTTTGTTTTTTTAAATCTGCCTTCATTCATTCCTTCCATTTTGTGTAAAACTTTAAGCTTTTAAAAAACTTGACGATATTTTAAAGTAACGAATATTTTTTGATCATTTGTTCACGAAAATTATCTCACATTGAATCCTATGATAAAAGTGAAAAAAGAGACGAAACAGAGAAAAAAATTTTTAGAAAGTACTCATTTGATGCTAAATGTTTTGCAGCTTTGATATAAATAATCTCTTCCATGAATCCATTGCTGGAATAAATGAACAATTATGATGATGGCCATCTCCAGTTCAGCCAAATGTTGCGAAGATTGAGAATGGGTTTATGTCAATCACACATGATGATATTTATGTTTTGATAATCAGTTGGTTAATGATATTTGTTGGCGAAAAATTCATACGGTGATAAATGTATGTTTAATCTATTATCAGCAATGTTAATTTTAATTTAATAAAAAGATTATTTTGTGCATTTCGATATGTATGTATGTATTGAACTCCATTCCTTTCTTTTATTATTCTTTTTTTAATAGGAACTGAGATGAATAAGCCAGTCAGATAAATTGCCATCATTAACAAAAGTGATCTTAATTGAAATCAAATAAAATTCATAATGGCTAAAAATGATTTAAATAGTAATGTAATGATCGAAGTTGAAGTATTAGAAGTGTGGCAATAATGGCAGTCATAATGATAGACTTTTATGTAGACAATATGAATAAATATGATACTAAGGGTACAAACAAAATTCATTCCCGATATAAGTGAGATGAAAATTCAGAAAAATTCATACATAGTAGGGTTAGGCAAATATTTTACAAAACACGAAAAGATAAAAAAATATTATATGGTGGCTAAATTGATTTATATTTTCATAGGTGTAAATGAAAATTTCTTCGCATACATTTGCTTACTACCACCACCACCAGTGTATAAAATTATACTTTATTTTGGATATGATTAATAAGGAAGTCAATATGATATAGTTTCTTAGAATATTTTTTCCTCTAAACTACGTTCATAATTTTAGTTACAGATTCTTCCATTTCTTTCCAGCCTTTTTTTTGATAATTTTGCACTCAAATTCTATAATTTCAAAAAAGTTCTATTAATTTTTAACAAAAATATGCACATTTTTAAAGTTTCTAAATAACTAACAGAAATTACACAAAAAATAGACTTTCTTCCGATTCTAATCAAATAGTATTGTCCATTTTGGGGACAATTTACTTTCCCAATAATTTCTACGATAAAAATTCCTTTTGTCGAATGTCTGTTTAATCAATCTTCTTCCCATCAACAAATCAAGTAAAAATGTAAGAAACAGCCTTATTTACATCAATTTTTAAAAATTGTTAAAATGAAATTCGAAATTTTTAAAAAAAAATGAAAATCGAATTTTCCTAGATCAACAACTTCCTTAATTTTTTGAAATTTAAACATACTTAACACTGATTTTTATATGAATAGAATGGGATAATAATGAGATTTAGCAGTGTTAGTATTAGGCTTAAATTGATTTAAGATGCTAGCCTTCGGAACACCAAAATTGTATGTTGAATGTTGAATGGATGTCCAAAAATTCCTCATTGATGAGTAACTAAATCTCTGTATCTCTCCTCTTCATCCCCTATTCAGGTGAACATTTGCTCACTTTATGAATTGATCAAAATACATATATGCCTCTTCTTTTGCTTACTGAAAGCTCCTCTGCAAAATATTTTGGCATGAAGAACAAATCTGACCAACCACATAATTTAACATCAAATAATTCTCATCATTTCTCTTCATCCCTATATACATGCCATTTTAAATTCGATTCTTCTTGTACGCAATTTTTTTCAATCAGAAAAATACAGTTGAATATTTTCAATTTATTCATTTATTGCTCACTGTAGAATATTTTGAAGATTTTTTTTATTTCTAATGCTAAATTAATTCAAAATTTGCTTCAATGTGAGAAGAGCATTTCATTGCAATGTTATGCGAAGTATTGTTGACTTTTGACCTCATTATGAAAGTGAAATGATGGATGTGAAAAATTTAATTAAAAATGTAACAAATCAACTCTAGTGCAATTTTTTTTAATTTGTAGAAAAATCATAAGTTTGTTAATGACACCGTTGCCAGATTCAAACTCTTACGTCAATTTAACTCATTTCAAAAAATCTCTAAAAATTGCCCTTTGAAAGCATATGATATTAGTCAGGTAGTTCTGTTCATCAAATTGTATTAAAATTCAGAAATCCACAAGTACAGTTGAGCTAATTGAAAGTGTTAAGATTTATGTAATTTGTGTTAAATTGAAATGGTAGTAATGTTGCCCATATACATAAACATTTCCCTCTTAATAGTATTAATAAATTTCTTTGTTTTAAAGGAAAGAAGGCTTAAGAAAAGTGAAAATTATAATAGTCAAAACTTAAAACAAATCATTGAAAAATAGGATTGTTTCTAGTCTCAAATTATTAGAATAAAGAAAAAAAAATAATGAAATTTCATAAGCAAAAACAAAGCTACCTGGCTAAGAAATGACCAATGCTTTTGGAATGCTTCTGACATACAACTGTAGCAATGTTTCCCAGATGAACTGAAAATATTTGATATATAAATTTTTAAATGATTTGAAAAAGTATAATTTAAAATCAATTTATGATAATATAGATAGATTTTCTTCCCAATTTAAGCCATTTCTTTCTTTGAGCTCTCAAATCCATGCATCTTTTCCATTTTATTTGAGCATTTCAATTTTTGATCAGATTTCTAATAAATTGAACAGAATTAAAATACCTGAAATCAAAATAACCAAGCGATATGGCAACAATTGTTATAGACGTTGTTATTTGTACAATGAACCAAATTATTGGCCCTAAAATTGAGATTGCTCAAATTATTTCTCCATAAAGAAGACATTCAAATTCTAGAAATTACTCAATCCATTTGCTGTATACGGAAGCAAGATAAATTTGATTATATGAAAACATGAGGAATGATATCCTCTATTCTAACTGATACGCTAATTCGAAGCTGTTGGCTACAATTTATGTTTTTCTACTCTATATGTATAAGTAAATTAGAAATGCAAAATTGGATCTAAGATGGGTATAACAATTTAAAATGGATATAACTCATAACTTAAAGCAATTTTTTTAATATAAACAATATTAGAAACGATTATAGTTGTTATTAATCAAAATGCGCAGAATGCAATATAATTTAGTGATTGTAGATTGAAAAGTTTTTTCCACTTTCTAAAGTTGTTAATTTGATTTGCTCATAAATTGATGCGAATAACGAGCGCAGATATTTAGTTTATATGCAAGATATAATATAAGAATTCAAGTTTATTTTATATAATAATTTTATAATTGGTGTTTAAGAGGTTCGTTTCAAAATTAATTTAGGGTCAGTCAATTATTTTTCTACAATTTATTACATAAAATAAACTTGAATTCTTCTATTACATCTTGCATATAGACAAAATATCTGCGCTCGTTATTCGCATCAATTTATGAGCCAATCAAATATCAAATCATAGCAGCTAAAATTTTGATTTGATATTTTGAAAAAAAAATTTCAGTCAATCTTTTTTCCACTTTTCGTATCGTGTCCGCTCAAGCAAAATTCTTGAATTTTAAAAATAACCAGTTAATCTTAGGTCATAGAAATTTTCTAATCTGTTGCATCACCGCATTAGTTCAAGAGATTTACTGAACTAAGAGAATTATAAATGATGATACCTTAAGCAAAAAGATGAACTTCAGTGATTTATTCGTTTAAAGGTTCTGGCGAAATGAATTTAGGGAAGTAGATGAGACTTCATTAATAAACTGTTGCATTATTTGTAATAAATACGACAAGAAAAACAAAGCGGTATCGATTCAAGTGTAAAAGTCAATTCACTAGGATTTTGTAGTATTAACTCAAAAATTTGTAATCAATAATACCCTTTACGCTCATCTCGTTTTTTTTTTGACTTTTGTATTTCAATGTGTTCGGATTCTTGGAAGAACAATGAAATGAAATTAGGCTTTGTTTCTAAACCAACTTCGAAAGAAACGATAAAATATAAAAGCACATTTATAGGAAAAGGTAAACACGCATTATTTCATAGTTTCGAATCGTTTTGAAAACAATAATGGCCATTTTTTCCTCTTGTCCTGAAGCACGTCACTGCGATCATTTGTTTTGAAAAAAAAAATGTTTATAATATAAAACCTGACTAGGCAATTTCATTCATTCAAATATTTAAACTTCTTGAGGACTTTGTTATATTTTCTTCCTTTAAAGTTGAAAAATAGTCAAAGAGATAAGCCAACGCTTATAATCAAGTCAAGCATATTATTTTTGAAGCTTCACTTTTTTGGAATCAAATTTTTGTATCAATCTGAATGCAGGGTTTTTTAAATCCCATCCTTCAAAAATGTTCAGAATGTTTTGATTCAGCATTTGTGTTAAAACTTTGCGTAAAAGGTATATACCAATTTTCATATCATTCGTAATTAATATTGGGAGTTTTGCTACAGCTGATATCTAAGTAAAATATATTAGTTACAAATAGGTTAAACATTAGGTTAATGGTGGATGATAATGGCAATAGTGATAATAACTATTATTAAAGTTACTGTTAAATGTTAGTCATGATAAATGATTGATGTTGATTTGAATAACACAATAAAATTAAAAGGCAATCATCATTCAAGTGAAACAAGCAACGATGAAATACAGAGCATGATGTATTTACGTGCTTAATGAGGCTTGAGGGAATCAATGAATTGTCCTACAAAAGATAATGGGCCTAGTTAAAGGGACCAACTGCAGATCTTTTCAACAATATACATCAGTAGACACATCACTAAAGAAAGCACTTCTTGGCTTTTATTAATCTTTATTGTCAACTTCAACCATTAATAACAATTTTCCCGAATTTTTCTCTGGAAAGCGATTTCCGTTATTATTATTATTTCTTATTATTATTATTAATAAGTAATAATATTACTACTATTAGCAGTACTACTACTACTACTACTACTATTACATCATCAATGAATAAATAACGATCAACATAACATCTTCATAAAAAATTTCCCATTTTATGAAAAAGAAAAAATGAAATCGATATTTCATGAGATTAATAATGAGAAAAGTAAACCTTTTTGAAGAACCTTTATATAATTTTCGATGCAAAATGCTTGTTTCCTAGCAACATTTCCATATCATATCCAAAAATCGTGTTTTGAGTCTTTTTTTTAAACAAATATTATAAAAATATAATCTATTATATTCATTATTCATTGAAAAAGTTTATAGTACAATGATAACAGATATTATTTAATTGTTATCATTCTTATATTTTATACTAATACTCAAATTGTTCTATGTGAAATGATATATGAATGAATGAACATAAGATCTGTTAACATGTACTACATAATTTGCCATCGGAATATTTGCATTCCTGCACAAAACCCTTCAATTCTAATTTCTTATCAAATTTTCATGAGTAATCTTTAAAACTGGTTAATATTCACACGGAATGGAAAAAGAATGGCATTACATCCCATTACTTCATTCAGAAACATTCTTAGTATTTGGCACTTTAAATCGTTTCGTTCACAAGCTTGTAATAAACATTAGGTAGTTGGCAATAGCTGAGTAACTGGGTGTGTCGATTTCCCCAACGGAATTGAAAAATGAACTGACAAGGAAGTTCTCATCTTTAAATTTGCATTTTTGTTATTTTCCAAAACACATTATATATACATATCAAGTTCAAGAAATGATATGACGGTTTTAAAAAATATGGGAAACGGGAAGTGATGGGAGGTTTTAATGAAATAAGATCCGTAATCTTTGGTGCATTTTGCAACTCATAACTTGTGAAAATTATCAATTATTTGAAAATTTTGCATTTTATCTAGTCAGGCTGTTTCTCAATGATTATGAACGATAAAGAAAAGTGTACAGCCAAACTGCAGTGTGTACCTACTAGTTATTAATTTGAAATAAAAAAAAAATTTTATTGATATTGATAAGTGTTCACCTGGACTCATGCAAGCTTTATATTTCAATTATGCGTTGTTGGCATATGAGGGCGACAACTATTGATAACAAGCCCCATCGGATGCCATGATCGGCTTGTATTGATTATCCCCTGAGACAGTAGCTATCACTAACAGCAATCATTCACAGTATAATAGAAAATCGAAAAAAAAAAAACATCATAAGAACAGAAGCAGAAAATGATTAAGGAAGTGTACCGATGGAAGAAAGCAAGGATGATGATCACAGTGATGTCACCAGTTTAGCCAGTGATATATCCACCGATGATCCGCGGATTACATTAAAATGGAACAAAGCGGGAAAGGCAAGGGATAGTAGACGGGTGGATTGATGGATAGAGAGGTGAATAAGGGAATTACCTAAGGGAAGCTCCTCAATGAAGTGGGCAAATGCAACTATTAAAGGCGGAGCAAATCACAAAACCATAGACACGACCAGAAGAGCCTACTGCACCATGATGGGGATGATCCGTAAGGGAGTGGCTGAGAATAGATGCATGTCTAAGATTTTTTAAACCTGCAGAAATCGAAGGTGGACGTATATGAGCAATTCAGTAAGTTCGATAACCTTAAACTTCATCTCTAATATTTCTCTTTTCAATCATTTTCCAGAAATGTTTAATACCAGGTAAGTTAGATCTAATTAGGATATACAGGTGAAAATTCTACCAAACATTTTACTCTCCCGTCGGTAATGATAAGTGTAAATCATATTATTATCAGCATCAAAATTTAGCAGTTTACGTTGTTGCTGGCCATCACTTAACATAAATTAAATAGGTAAGAAATGAAGAAATATTGAATTTCAATTTTTTATACATCTGCACTTCTATTGGGAGAAAAAAAACAGCTCATGAGCTCCTACTGCTTCAGCTCCATTAGTATCAATCATCTGCTAACTACAATCATTTATTTATGCAACAATTTCCAGTCAACTATTGGAATTTAATAATAACACGTTTTCTGTTTCGGACAGAACAGAAAACTCACCTTTTGATAAGAAATTGTTGATATATTAGCAAAATACGATCAGGCAAAAAGAAAAAAATCAGTTATTTGGAATAGTTTTAGATTGAGAAAATGAGCAAAATAGGCTGTCAAGAAAATGGACAAATAACAAAGAAATAGTTTTATAAGGCCAATAACTGACCAGTTCTAGTGGATACTCCTCAACACTCTGTCTTTTTCCATTTTCCTTCCTGATCTCAATCTTTCTGTATTCCGTAATATTACGCAAACAGAACAGTGCTTATAGTGTCCCTGCGAATACTACAAAGAGTACAATACGTATATCGAGAGAAATGAGGAGAGAATAATGCTCTATAATGCAAACGACTAAATGAGAGATTGATGTTAGAGAAAATAGTGTGTTTATATGTTGGATGATAGTTTGCACAATGTTCTCCGACTTTTTCTTCCTGTTCAAGTCATTGCATGGATGAATTCGATTGTAAGGTGTTGTGGATTGGTAATTACGTACGATGTAATGCGTACCACGTGCCACGTACTACGTACAAAATATTGGAACTGTTGATGTTCAGTGTGCAGCTGAGCGACGTGGCGGTGTAATCATTCAGCGCAGGGAATAACCATTTTATAGTTAGAAATATGAAATATCTCTTCAGCTATGCACGATTTTAACAACCTTTCATTAAATGTTTGCTGGAAGATCCACTATTTCTGATAAGATCTGAAAGATTTTGGATGATTCTGGAAAGTCGTAGGGCTTTTTTTTTCTGAAGTTCTGTTATAACTTTCTGTTTTTCACTTTGATTTACTGTTTTCATTATTATTTTAGATCATGAAATTGATGAGTTAAGATAAAGAGATTAACAGCATTCAAAATTAATTGAAAATGGTGATGCGCCTTCTCGCTCCACTTTCACTCGGGTGAGTTGTTTTACACTTTGTGTACTCAAACTCTGCAGCTTTGTGTATTCAAACCACAATGAATTAAATTTTAAAGAAAAAAGTTTCAGTCAAATTAGTAAACGACACTTCAAGACAGACGTGTTGTTTTTTTTTTTGTCACATGTTAACTTATTCTTATGATAAGAATTTTGGTAATATTTCTGATTCGTTTTATTTCATGTAGTTTGAAAAAAAAGAAAGGAAGTGAGAATGGTCCGGATAATTATGCAAATTAAGCATATGACGAGCACTTTTTTTCTCAGAACTCTGTTTGCTACATTGAAATTTCGTCGAGATGGAAAAATCCGGGATTCTGTGCAAGCTATCACAATGCTCAACCAAAATAAGAATGCTAAGGAGGCTATGGAATATCTCGAAAGAACAAGTTGCATTTTTCAATCATTGTAATGGACTGCTTTGAAAAGCAAATGAGGAATTCACATACATTTCAGAATCGGACATTAAATTGTGCATCCTGAATACTCAAGCGCTATTTCGTCTTGCATTGCGTGGTAGCTCTTTATGTAAGCGAAACGCAACGACATCAGCTAAAAAATCCATTGAGTCAGTTGGAATGTTGGAAGATGCTATAAAACGGGTTAGAAATCTTTATTACTTAACATTATGCTGTGAAATATCTCGCCGGAATTTTCAAAAAGAAAAATTGTCCTTCAACGCAAGAAATTTGCAGCTTATAATCGACGATGAATGGGAAGGAACTGTGAAATGGTTAATTCCGCATATGTATAATGAAGATGACCCTTTATCTTATAAATACTTTCTAGAAAGGCGCCGATCTCAAGATCTACGCTTAAATCGTCTTCTTTCCCAGCTTGTACTTAAAACTGAGGTACTTCTTATTATTTTCAGTGATGATTATCAGTATTTAGTTTTATTCAATATTTGCTTCCAAACACTTCCCATGCAAATTTCGCTATTTATTCTATTTTACGACTAGTTATTAGTTTTGGTAGAATCCACAATTAAAGGAATCACGTGGTATCAATTATTTATGTTAATGACAAGTACTAGTTTGAAATTCATTTTCACAGCTTGCGTTTTTACTATACTGGACTTTGAAACTTTGCAATTAAGACTGGATTTGGAAGAGAACTTATCAGTCAAGACATTCTTACACTGCTGCTCCAACTTTGCAACCATTATCGAGAGACAAATCGTAGCATTTATTTGAACGCATTGAAAATACTGGCAAACATTGTCGTGCAGAATGAATACTGCGCAACAGCAGTTGCAAATTCAGGTTTTATTTCATCGCTCTTACTTATTGAGCCGAGTTGCTTACTTTTTGATTTAAAAAAATGAAATTCAACGTTCAGGATGGCTTTCAATGCTCGCAGCCATGGCTACATCGCAGATTTTTGAAGAAGTGTTGATGACTGAGAAGGTGCATTACATTTATCTTTTTTTCAAACTTCATGTTGCTAATCTAACTGATTTATTTTGAAAAATTTTCTTTTGGTAGATTTGAAAGCTTATTCATCTTGCTTAATATGGCTGTATCAACGCTTAAATGAGTGCAGTAGGAAAATAGACCATTTTGTGTCGTAGAGTTTGATCTGTCATATGACAATCAAGCGAGTGCTTAGACGTCCTAAATATATATTCCTGCATTTTGAAAACATTCCATGCCATCTCCTCATTATTTATTTTTCATTAAGTAATCCATGCAATTGAATAATACAGCGCGTAGAATTTTCACTAGGACCGTTTGATTTTAGCCAAGTTCTTACCGAAATGTGATTTTACAGATCTGCAATAATGGTTTGAGTGTTTTCGATAGCACTAGAAAGCCACTGAAAACTAATGTTTATGAGCTTTTTCGTCCAGATGATGACCAGCCACCGATAATTGACTTGGTACTGATCCATGGTATCCGCGGTAGTGTTTTTTGGACCTGGCGAGAAAAAGATAATCCGTCAAAGACATCACGCACCCGATGCTGGCCAAGGGTAATGTTTATGGGAATTTCTAGCTACGTAAATTAGTAGTTTTTGAAAGCGTAGTTTGCAGCTACTTTATTGCAGACATGGCTTCCGCAAGATGTGCCTGTTCCAATGCGAATACTTGCCATCGATTACCTATCCTCGCTTGTGCATTTTGTAGGAGTTGCTGAAACGGTGAGCACAAGAGCCCAAAAATTTGCGGTGGAACTTAAAACTGCTGGTGTTGGTGACCGACCTGTCCTGTTCATTTGTCATAGCATGGGTAAGCACTATACATTTGACATAGTATGGGTAAGCATTTTAATTGTTTTTGACGGTAATTTATCATACTTATTTATAGTGTCTTTATGTGGATCCTGGAAGTCTATTTCAGGCGGCTTATTAGTGAAACGAATTTTATTGGATGATCCAAAAATACGTCGCAACACAATGGGGATATTATTTATGGCAACGCCGCACCGAGGCAGTCCTTATGCAATGTATGCACCATTGGGCTTGCGACCTTCCGATGATGTGAAACTTTTGCATCAGCAAAGCGCAATAAACAGACAGGCAAGAAACTGCTTGCGAAGTACAAGAACTTGACAAGTATAATTCTCGGGCTTCTTGATAAGCTTTTTAACTGCCTCATTTCAGCTTCATCAAGATTTTCTTAAAATTATTGATGCAGTGCCCGTGATAAGTTCAGTAGCAGAAACAGAGAAAGCACCACTTATCATGCGTCAGAAAGGCATACTGGTACCTCCAGAAAGTGCTTATTTGGAACGCGGCGCCTTCTACCACATAAATGACGTAGGTCTTTCTTTATTTTTTAATGTTCTTTAATTTAATTTGCAGAGGATTCTTTCTTGACTTTTCTCAGTAATGCTGTAAAGCTTCAATGTAAAATTTTCAGGCACATCACAATATTTGTAAGCCTTCTAACCAACAGGATCGTATCTATAGTATAATTTTGCTGTTTATAAATGACGCCATTCACTATATTGTGAAGAAAATGAGTTAAATGATCTCGAACAGAAATCTTGGACCGTTGTAGTGTACAAGCCATATGTTATATAATCACGGTAAGGTATGCTGGTTTTGTAAATCCCGAGGAAAGGTTTTCAAGTGATTTGGTTCCTTTGAACAATAACATATTGACAAATGAGCGAAATTCGGGGCTGCTTAGATTTGCAAGCTTAGCAAAACATTCTGCGCTATGATCATATTCATAACATTCATGTAACTGTTTAATGTAGTCTTTGAATATATACAGTGTAAATAATTTATTTACATTACCAAACCAAAGATCAAGACAGTTACTTTCTAAGCACTAACTTTCTACACATATATATTTTGTGGTCAATTTATAACCCTTTTAAGGAAAATGAAACATTTTTGTACATTACCCTTACACCCCCTGGCATTCTGATTGCTACTTATTCTAATTTCAATTTAGTAATTCATACGCTTAAGAAAGTTAAATCTTTGAACAATCGAGTAATGAAATGCATTGCATCCACATGATCAATGAGACCAGATGACAAGATAAAATATTAGGTATGAATAATTGTGCATTTACATAATTGTACGATTAAAATAAAAATATCACAGTAGTATTATGCAATGAGTCCGGACAAAAAAGATTAAGATGAAAGTACGAATGACAACGAAGGAAACACTGAAAATTTGAGTTCCTACGACTAGCTGACACCATTTCTGGACTGCTTGCCGCAGAAAAAATGCTACTCTGGGAACTAATATAAATTTGCTTTCTGAAAGATTATTCGAAACGGGGAGTGGGAGAGGAGGACATGATAGCTGTACGTTTCATTTACAATATAATAAAAATGTCATGAAAAGTCAGCAGAATTAAATTCTGGAGGTGTCCACAAATTGAAATTAAAGGGATAGCATGGAATGGCCAATTTGAAAAACAACAAAACCTAGGCGTCTAAGAACCCATGATAGTTTTTGCACACAACCCATTAACAGTAAACTAGTAGACAACACTGAAGAATCCTAAGTGCATTATTTCCTGACCTTTACCTCAAATTACAAAGCGCAACAATATTAGTAAAAACAACTGAGCAAAGTAACAGGAAATTTTTGAACTATGCTATGTTTGTGGAAATACGTTTCGTTGATTCTTCATTTGTAGACCATACTGGTACGTTTTCCACAGCCAACGGTGTATTCCTTTGTATCAAATCTGCCGCTCTTTCGGCCAGCATAATCACTGGAGCATTAAGATTTCCGCTTACAATTGATGGCATTACTGATGCATCTGCTACCTTCAAGCGATTATTTTCGAGTTGCTTTTTTCAATGAGAATTCGTAATTTTACATCAGCATCTTTGATTTCAGTAAGAAATTTCGGCTAATTATTTGAAATGGAAATAGCAAACTTACGTAAAGATCCCCAATCCCATAGACGCCCATTGTTTCCGGATTGACAACAGCAAACTTGTCGGATTCAATTCCCATTTTGCATGAACAGGATGGATGATAAGCAGAAGCAGACATCGTCCGAACAAAATCGTCAATCTATCAAAATATTTAATATCCTCAAGCAGCACAGTTGATAAAAATGATGCTCCTTTGAATCTCAAACATCTTGCAATATAAACTCGTAGTTGATGAAACGTAGCTAATGAAATGAGAACTTGTCGTACCTGTTCGTTGCTCTGGCAATCTTCTCCGGGTAATAACTCATCGCTACGATATTTATCAAAGCTTCGCTGACTTAACAATGTCCTGGAACAAATAGGAAAATAAGTTCCTCTTACTTCCGTCAGGTCATGAGTCAATTTATGAAAAAATTCATCCCAAATACGACCTTGCAATTCGTATGGCAAATCTAAATTCAATATAGTCGTCTACGTGATCCAGATAGTTCGGATTTATGAGCGGATGTCGCCTAGGGTCATTACTAGCTAATGTTATTGTACCCTTGTACTTGGATCGCAGTGGACCGACGTGTACCTAAATTAATCAGACATTGAGTGGTGATGCATAGATAAGAAACAGTTGACTTGTCTAGGCACAAAGAGCATCTAATTTTCAGAAATTCGGAAATGGTTTGAAAATTACCTGGTAAGCGTGGCATTTACCAGAAGTGCGCCCATCATCATGCACTGTAGAAGGAAGGAAATGGAACTGAATATCTGGATGAAGAACCTAGAATTAAAAGTAACAAGGATCAAAAGAAACTCATTCTCCCCACGAAAATAAAAAGTTGAGGAACCGAAAACTACGTAGGAAAACGAACCTTCGGTGTACTTCTTACAAATCCACCAGACTCCAGATGACTGCTCGCTCCAAAACCAGTCTTGTATAGATACCATTCCAAGCCAATTTTGATCATATTATGAGGGTAAAGCCAAGAACTCTTGTTGTAAAGTGTAATTGGTTGCGTACATTTCTAAGCATCATTAATCTATTTGAAACTTGAATTTCAATCTACTTGAATTCATTTATTTTGCATTTATATTGTAAACCATGACCATTAAATTTTGGCAGCGAAAAGAGTGGAAGTCTTAGTGGAAACCTGTTGTACGTAGACCTCAAGATGGTCCTGCAAGTTACTGCCAACTCCTGGCAAATGCTCGATAAGCGGAATCGAATGAGCCTATAAGAAACTACGTTATTAAATACTAGCAATTTCAAACTGCCTCAATAAAAGCAGAGAAGGGTTATTTCTACAGGTATCTTTTTGTGAACTGAAAAGTTTACTTTTATATTATCCGCTGGTCCGATTCCGCTGAGAAGCAATAATTGTGGAGTATTGACTGCGCCACAGGCAAGAATCACGCCTCCTTCACAGTACACTTTCTCACGATTCCACGAACTGATGTTGTCGGTAAGTGGACCATTCTGCAATACAGGAGAAAACTTCTAGAATAATTAAAAATATCTTGAGTTCAAAAAGTTATGTCTGTCCTACTTTTTTTAAATATTGTTCTTTGTTCTATGCCCCATCAGATCTAAATGTACAAAAAAAAATGAAATAAAATCTCTTCCAAACATTAATTTGAGTAAAAGAAATGCCTGAAATTAAGATCATTCATTAACAATGAGAACCAAACCGCTATTGGTTAGTTTGTTGTCCCATACTCAGCTTCCTCGAAATCTATCAAAATTGCAAGCAAATAATAAAAAAACTTACTTTTCTTATAAATTCGATACCAACTGCTTTATTATTATCAAGTAATATACGTGTGCATAATATATTCGACGAGGTATGTAAATTTGGGCGTGAAAGTGCCTGAAGTAGAGAATTCATTTCTAGAAAAATTATTCACATGAAAACATAAATCCACACAATACGCGAAAAATTTTTTTAACATACAGGCCACAAATAAGCTTTCGATGCACTCCAACGTGAGCCTTTATAAATAGTAAGATCCATTGGAGCTGTTCCTTCTTGTTTGTATCCATTCATGTCATCCACAGTACCAATGCCAAACTGTAAAAGTATTGATCATATCCTGAGTCCGAAATTTTAAAGAAATCTATGAGACGAAAAAACTGCGGTTAATATCATATAACTGAAATCCTATTTACTTGATTTCCGCATTCAATAAAAGCCTTGTGCAACGGGTTTTCGCATTTGCCCTGCATAACATGAAGTGGACCATTCCAACCACGATAAGGATCTGATGGTCCCTTTGACAATTCATGAGATTGAGCCTTTTTAAAATAAGGAAGCACATTCCTGAAATGGTCAGTTTCTCAAGCGCGAAATTTGAATTATAATAAACGGACTCTGATTTTTAACTTCAAGAAGAGATACTTGTAAGACCAATTTGTAGCTCCCTCTTGCTCCCAACGATCATAGTCAAACGGATGTCCACGCACGTACACCATTGCATTAAGAGTAGAAGAGCCTCCCCAAACACGTCCACGAGGCCAGTAAACTGTTCGCCCATTCATGTTTTTTTGCGGCTGAGTATAGTAAAACCTATAAATTTACATTTATAAAAGCTGATAAGCTCTTTTTCAGATAATATTCCCAAACCATTGTTTATGGCATTCATTCCATCTTTAAATGAATATGACCAAGGCTTACCATGTCAAAGAAAGTTGATAACTTATCAGTTTGCCTGAAGCTTCCCGCAGGTATTTTAGTACATCTGCACTTTGTCACACTACTCTAATGAGATGCAGATTACTTAATGCTATATGTGCAATATTAGGTAAATTCATCTGTAACTTGAATTCTTGTGCTAGCAGTGAAGGATCCGAATTTACCAGTTATATTTGTCATCACACAGATTGTACATAAGTGCTGCTGGCATGTGAAATTTCCAATTCCATTCCGAATCTCGTGGCCCCGCCTCTACCAGCAACACTCGATTAGATGGATTCTCTGTCAGTCGACTAGCCTGAAAGGAAGTTTACTGCAACTTCTTTGTGCATTCTTCAGCAATCGCAAGAGATCAAGTCTGTTAAAATTATACCAGGACACATCCAGCTGAACCAGCTCCAACCACGATGTATGTTGGCTTCTTGTCACCCAACTCTGGATCTATGGAGCCGAAGTGTCGACCCCACCCGTAATTCCGAGTTGCTGCTGTTCCGAGCCATTTCTTCCGAACGAACATTGACAGCATTCCCTAGTTCTTCCTTTCTCCTTATACCCCCAAAAATAACTAACACGTTGCTTCACGAAAGGGACGAATGATTTCAAAACGCCGACAGTCGTACACTTCCAGTGTCTGAATGCTATACGAAGTTTGTTGTGTAAGAAGAGAGCAGAGAACGAATGGGCTTCAATAGTAACAGACAGTCGAACGATTAGAGGGAAAACGGGAGATGCACCCAGAAATGGGCGCACTGTTCATGGGAATCCCGAACATGTGCCACATTATTCCGCCTGGCATCTATATCTAAAAAAGGATGGAAGATACTACGATAGATGGTTGTAATAATAAAATCGTTTATAAATTTATGCCACATCAGAGTCCTGAGAAGACAGTATACTGCGTGAGAGGGTCGGAGTTGATTAGAATTCTAAAGCTGTTACATATGCAAATAGCTTCAGCATCCAAATGATTTCACTTAAGTCCTGCTTACTAACAAACATCTCCTCTAAATTAGATTTGTAAAATGTTATTATTATTCTTTAGGACTAAAAATTAAGTAAGCCTAAATAAAAATCTATTTCTCGACTTTTCCAAATTACTGATACTGTTGTGGGATGAGGAAAATGAATCAAAAGTTATACATACATATTTCTTCTTAGCTAATGACGCAACTTCTAACCGAAAATGGAAGTGTGAAGGGTTTTTTTTTTACTTTTATTGTTGAAAGAAAGAACTAAGGTTAATCTAAGCCGTAGGATCCCTTTATTCTACACATACTACCCTGTGAAAGATTTTTACCGCACATACTACCCTGTCTAAGATTTGCATGACTAAACTGAGCGTTCGGCACGCTCTCCAAGACTGACTATGTTAGTTTGTCCGTTTATCGCTGCTTAAAAAATAACTACTTAAATATTAGTTAAAAAGATATTTCCGAAATCAACATTTAAATCACACCGCCCATCTTGTTTTACTTGACAAGTTCCCTATTTCATATCTCAGAATATATGCGTCTTCTCTTCTTAGCTGATGATATTTCATCGGGTTGGGTCATTACAACAAGTAAACATGAAAACTAGACCAAACAAGTGCAAATAAAAATGGTAAGTGGCCGAAGTGAGCCCTTTGACCCAGAAACAAAAATTTAGAATAAGTCCATATAGAGCGGAAATTTCCACAACAAAAAAACAGTAATCTCTACGGCAATTCAGGTTATCCTTTTACGATCTATCCTATATATCACGCTTGGTTTTACTTAAAATACTGTAAATACCTGGAAAACAAAACATTCAGAAATGCTAGCATTTTCTTGACATTATTAATTCTCAGGGTCCTTTCATTGTATTAAAAACTATGATTCTCATGATTCTCATGAAATCATATGATTGATACTGATTTCCTTCCATCATTTACGTTAACTTCTGGCGTCCTTTTATACGATCTTCGCTCATTTTACAGTAATCCATAACTATGGAGCGTTATAGGTGGCCTGCAGCAACAAGGAACAACGACATCACTTCTTACGATATGAAAGCTTCGTGGGTGGTCGTGATCGTCACAATTTCAATCTATTTTATAACAATTGGTCAATTAACACAGCTCTATTTCGTGATGGCTATCATATTTGTGTGTGTGTTTATGTGTGTCTGTGTGTCTGCAAGTGTTCATGTGTGTACGTGTGTGATATACATGTGTGTAGTGTGTGTGAATCCATTAGCAAATAAATCCTTGCGTGGCTTCAATTCTTTTCTGAATTTCCGGGATTGGTGAGTATGCCATAGTTACGCCTGAAAATTCGACGATTCATGAGTTCATGAGTTTTTGAAGCAGAAATAATATAGATTTAAAGCTATCATATGTCAGGTTTAAAATTTTTTATTATGAAGTCTAGCTTTATCCGGTTTCATGACCCGTGCGGCATAGATATCAGCGGCACTTTCATATTTTTTTAAGAGTAGTTAGATCACAACGAAATGAAAATTTATTAGCGTGGCTAATGAGCACTGTGAACCAAACTGTGAGCGGATCTGATTGATTCGCTTGGTCCATAATATGTCTTCTGGTGAGGGACTGTGGGATTTTTGAAATCCTACAGACGTGAGATATTTGGACGACAAACATTATTTAATGATGACATAAATTGCTAGATTTCAAGTTCATTTGAATACTTTTCTTCTGTAATATAGGAAATTTGAGCAATGAGAAAGGGAACTGAGTAATTTAAAAGATTAATTTGTGAAAACGGTAAAATTAACTTGATAACGTTTGCAATTCATTTGCGTCGAATTTGCACTGATACCTTCTAATCCCAATTTTCTTTTCTTAATTGAAAAAAGACTCTTAGGATCAAAATATTCTTGATCAAAATATTTACATGGAATGTCACTTAGGTTCTAACCACGTACACAACTTATTTGTATTACAAATAGTTCAAAAAAATAACTCTACGTTGTTGGAAATATTTTCAATCAAAATTTGTTTTCGTTGAAAAGTACCAGGAATAATCATAACTTGAGTAATAATAATAGTCACAACTTGAGATAGTTTTACGCTAACCGGAATTACGAGACTTTAAATTGAAGCTGTTATATAGGCTCCGAGTTTCAAGCATTTACCTGCTCCTGAACAGTATGATTCAAGATATTATCTAACACTCTGTATTATTTTCATTCAGATATTTAATTTATCGGATGCTCGTTCATAAAACTTCAGTTTGTTAAGTTTACAATGAAATCTTCTGCACGATATGTAACTGAAATCTGAGATGCAAAAATTCCACCGAAGAATTCGCCAACAAAATTATCGATCACTGTAGTTTGCAGGCGATAGTACGAATTCGAAAATTTTGGGGCAAGTGGAAAGTTTGTCAGTCGTATGAAAGCAAGCATACGATACTGAGCTTCAACTTCTTTTTCTATAAAAAATTAAATTTTTTTTAAAAAAAATTCCATTCATTCAAATTAGAAATGCATGAGTTATAAAAAAAAGTTGGAATCATATTTCCAAATAGATTTTAACTGTCATACTTACAAACATATTGCACATTCGGGATTAAATGGTAGCTTATACAATGTATGTGCAAACTATTAATTCGTTACAACAAACAAGAAAGTATCCAAGGATTTCATAATAATGAGCGAAATGTGTTACCGGAAGATACAATTATTGTACTATCAGCTATAAGATTTAGCTCTCCAGTAATTACTATGCAAATCAAGTATCATACCGTAGCAGAGTACCTCAGTAATATCCACATAAAATGGTGAAGTGGAGCTTTATCAATTAGAAATGTTCTCCAAGGAAATAAATGGTATCAGAATCATTTCAAAATTATAATATATATTGCTGTATACAATGATGATGACAATGTCCGCGGCATTGCTAAAGGTGATAGCAATGATGATGATTTCTGTAATGATAATGATATGTCACGATTGCATTGATTGCAGAATAACTGCTCAAAATAAGATCCAGTAAATTTTCGATGTAATTTAGACAAAAAAGCTTCTGACTGATGGAAGAATTACAGACGAATATCAGTATTTATGATAACGATCATTTTCTCATATCCAGCGCAATGGGTAACAGCTCGCCTACATCACGAACCTAAAATAATTGAATGAATAATCACTTAGTTGTTAATATGAGCAATAAGAAATTTCAACATTCCCAACTGTTACTGCAGGGTCATATCCATAGCACAGTCTTCAACTTTCAAAAGCATTCGGGAAATCCTTCATGCCGAAATATTCGATGAGTTCGGTTATATGGATTTACAAAATGGATTTTAAAGAATCGGAGAAACATAGATAAGGCGTGTGCTCACAATATGATCAGCCTGTGATCGCAATTCATTGATGCCACATACTCCGGAAAGAACGCCAACAGTACTACCAAGATTAGCAGAACGTCCCATGCCCATATCAGCCAAAGTATCGCCTACTATAAGTGTGTCCTGAAAGACAGTTTTATGTACAGATCATGAACTTAGTAGCCATATGGCAATCAAATTACCTAGGTTTTACGATTTTGAATAATTGTATCAGTTTAACTTAAAATCTTGAGCAGACTTGTTTCATGGCATCATTCTAATTCTGGCAAATTAGTTCCAGGACGTTTGCAACGAAATTTTTTCCGTTGGAAGAAAGAACAGAAGGTGAATTGAAAAAACATTTCTTGTGAACTTTTAATTTCTATGAAGTTTACTTGCGGATCAACATCCAACGTACGACATATGGAAAGTGCATTATGAGGATGCGGCTTTGGCATAGAACCAGCATCATCACCACACACTATCATATCAATATGATCTTCCAGTTGCAAACATCTTAATGCATTCAGTGTCCCTTTCCTAAAAAAAAGAACTTCTTGTTTGGATTTTACAAATAAAAGCTCTGAAAGTGAGTCAAAAACGGAAACATTAAATTACGGCATTTCTTTAATATTGTAAAAACGAAAGGTTACCGAATTATATGAATAAATTGGACCAATAGATTATCTGTTATAAAGTAATTACATGATTGCCACGGAAAGACCTGCCAAACGACGCACTCAATAATCTATCATACCATTCAATTAAGTGCATTTGACGGATAAGTGTGAGCGACTTAGATTTCAGTCAATATGAAGTTTTACTTCAATTCCAGGAATATATATTGACGAGTTTCTCTGTTATCCAGCCATTGTCATCTTATATCGCAATGCAGAAAGTGCAGGGAAAAAGGGGCAAGCGGTAATTTTGGACGAGTTTGAATAGGCAGAAAAAAAGTAAATAATCAATTGGCCGCCAAAACTGCTTCTGTAAACATCATTGTTTCTCCATCTTTAATAAAATTTCAGAAAATCTAAGCACCGCGAAAACTTGCCGACTATCTGAAGTACAAATGGCTATTTTTATTTTGTGATCTCGTAGTTGCTGGAATAACAAATGTAAATCAAAAATTTCTTTGACAGTGTGACCACTGGATTCATTCGCCTCTAAGATTGCTCCCATAACATGCTGCAATTGCATATTTACATTTTTTTTTAGCGCGTTATTCAAATGGTTGAGGTCATGACTGATAGCCAAATCAATGAATATTTGGATTTTAATAATAAAATAATAAAATCGGAGTGAAAAAAAGTGTAAAAGAAAAAAATCAAAAATTAAACGCCATTTCGCTAGATTAATTACTTATGGTAGAAAAGAGATATTTCAGCAAGAAAAATCAAAATTGAAAATTGAAAATGGACGAAAGAAAGACTTTAAGAACTTCAGCAGCTTCAATTCCGTGATTAACCAGCAAACGCGCAATAGCATCACTTATCTGCCCCATAGTTCCTTCAGCGAGAAGACCAGATTGTACTCGTTGTTCTTTCTCTTGCAATCCCAACAACGAATATATTTCTTGTTCAACGTTCATCTTTGTTGATTCACTTATTCTATAATACATAAATTATAGTCTGTTTCTTTTAAATTTTTCACTGCAACCAAATAATTCGAAATATTGAAGTAAAATCAAAAATCACTTCTTGGCCACATTTATTGCCCATGGAACCCATGTAGAATGAAAACAAATCAAAGTACCATCTTTGTCGAAAATCACAAGTGAAGCTTTTTTCTGAAAGGAAAATCCAATTATTTCGAATTATTTGAGCTTATTTTAAACAACTATAAATTACTGTGCGCAAGTATTATTAACACTACCTCATTTTTTAGAGCAATTGTATAATTAATATTACCTTGGTGTTGACAAAAATTTCCATGAGCTATGTCATTTTCATGCCGCAATGAAAGCTGGATTTTTTAATAAAGTAATGTCTATAGAATTTTCTACAATCATTTCGAATGTATTCAACGAATCCTAAAACTTACTTCATAATTCAAAACAATTAAATAAACAACCAGCAAATAGACAAACATCTTTTTGGGATTTTATAGGTGCGAATGTTTGCATAAGACGATTCGCGAACACCTGGTCATCGCGAATTAAATGTCGAATTAAATGTTTTCGAAGAAAAGTAGAAGGGAATGATCGTCTATGCTCATCTAAAATATAGATATGCCAGGATTCATTATATACCATCAAAAAGTTACAAACTATACTTCATTAATTCAAACGAGTTAATTAAAGTATTGTAGAAAAAACTTAATGTAAGTGAATCAGTTCAAAGAATAATTTATGCGTGTTAATAATTAGATCTAAAAATTAAGAGAATTTCATTTCACCATGAAAGCTGCCTTTTTTTCTTTTCACGTTTGCTATTTAATGGCTGTACATGCTTAATGTAATGCGTAAGGATCCGAACTGCTGTTATCAATTTCATAGAATTCTGATTTCTTTCTTACAATCATCGGAAGCTTTAAAAAATAGGAAATAAATTTTTGTTTATAATCTATTCTTTAAGTCAATTTTTATCACTTTTTACTAAAAAATTTGATTTTTGTTCCATTGAAAGTTTGTTCTTCCCATTATCAAAACTTTCTTGGAAGCACTAATTTTCATAAAAATATACTTTAAAACATGTTTATGTTATTACTGGAAGATAGTCTGATAACATATCCTTTAAATTTGAACAAATAGTTTAAGAACAGGAGAGAGGCGCTATACTGTCAGAATGTTCAAAAAAAAAGAATTAGACAACCAACAACGATATGAACTTAGCATAGTTTGTTAATCTTTTTAAGCTTTATAGCAAATTTTCAGTACTGTCTTTAAGTGAATCATACCATTCTATTTTCGAATTGACATTTTAAAAATCTTTTCACTTTTCCTTTATCCTTTAAACAATAGAAAAATTGCCATCAAAGTTCAGAATTAACATTTTCCTCATTTTTTTTTCCCATTCTTTTAAATGACATTTTTTCATTTTTTAATGAAAGTAAAAATGGTAAAGCTATCTTAAATTGTTTTAAAAAATTGTTAGCCCAAAAAGTATAAAAGGTAAATTAATTATTTGTTTCTATACTTGGTAATTTCTTACGTAAAGAAATCCTCCAATTAATTCCTAACTGTACTGATTTTTCAAGTTTATTTGCAGGTGAATTTGAAAATGTCGTTGCAAAACGTGCTACTCTATTTCAGAGATCCATGAGGTATAGGAAGAAATGTTTCAACTGAACCTCCTCAAATTTATTTCAACAAAATGGAAATAACTTACAAGCGATACTAAATAACACAGAAGAACTGCGTATGAGGAGAGTCCGCACGCTTCTTACACTCATCGCATCTGTTGCACAATTTCAATTTCCTTCTTTTTTTCTTTTCTTTTTTTTTCTGCTGATAATAACAATAATAAACTTTCGAAAAATTAAAAACTGCACCAAATCCTGCAAAATTTAGAATAACTAAAGTTACATCGAATAAAACTCACATAAAATGGCGTCATTAAATGATAGAGAATGAGTGAAAGTTATGAATGAAAGTTCTGCTTCAGAAGCCGTATGTGTATTTCCAGGAGTGCGTTAAAGATTTTATCAGACAAACTTAGAGCTAATGAAATGAGAGCATACTCGAGCATGTAGACGCGTATGCGTTATCAGAAGGGGAAATCGAATAAAGTGCGGAAAAGACGGATAGGATTTGAAATTTTTAGGTGGATCTCTTAGAGAAGAAAAAAAATGAAGAGAAAAAGAGTAAGAAAGTTGACGAGGATGACTAGTCGAGATTGGAAATTCGTTGGATGAAGCTAGCTTAGTAAGATAGTTAGCTTGTTGAATGAAGCATAACGACAATTATATATGTGCGAGAAGTGGAATGGAATCACTGAACTATTTAAATATCATAAATTTTCACATTCATATTAATTTTTGCGCACATTCATCAATTCAAATCGCTAACAATAAATATTAGAAAAATTTATACAACAATTCATACTTATATCTCTTTCCAAATTTCATTTAAATTTTATTCATTCACATTGTTACAAGTCGCTTTATTTTTAAACTTATGCTATCACTTGTGGAATACTTTGGAATAATAATTTGGTTAATATTTAAAGATAATGATAAATTATCTTTAAATATTAATCGTAGTACGTAATTCATGAATCCCAGAATAATAAAGTTTTTGTGATAAAAAGAAAAAAAGCGCTTATCTCATGTTCATGCAGATTTTAGAATTTCATACTAGAAAGAAATAAGACGAGTGCTGCATTAGATCAACTAAAAATACAAATAAGGTACAGGAGAGTCTATCAATTGGTAGTTGAAAGAGTAGCACAACTCTACACATGGTGTAAATCAAATAGAGAGAGCAAATGGAGAAGGTACATCAATAGGTAAGTAATGTGAAAGAAAAGTAAATAGATTTGGTTAGATTTTTCTCCGTTTACTTTTTTGAATGGAAAGTTGTAAAAAAAAATACAGAATTCGAAAATTTATTTTTTAACAAACTTATATATAACTGAAAACATGAAATGATATTTAGTTCTAAAATTTTTGATCAGAATTATAATCAATAAGCTGTCAAGTTGTCAATTACCTTTTCAATCAATCACTTCAGCGTCAAGGATCTTGTGTATGCTTCCTCTGCAACACAAATTTAAAAACTGAACAACCGTTTAATCGGGTAATTGTTAAAAACGAAATTTTAAAATTAGTACTTCTTCAAAATATTGTAGAGATATGCAAATTTCATCAGAATTTTAAACATCTCTTTCATACAGTTTTTTTTCTGCAAAATAAAGTCAGATTTCAATGACATTGTTGATTGATACATCAAATTAATTTGCATAATTAAATTCGTTTACTTTATATTAGTTTATCACATATAATTCTCTGTACTACTTTGTACTACTTTAGCAAATTATTTGTGATGTGAATAGTTCCTCAAATTCAAATCACTATGTGATTTACATAAAGATTACTTATCAATAATCAGTTGCAATTTCATGATTTAATACATATTAATAATTTAAGTGAAATATTTTCAAACATTTTAAGCAATGAGACATTTTGAAGATATCATGAATTAGTTGAATATATATTAATTGCAATTGGTAAACAAGCGAGTGAACAAGCGAGGAATCAAGAGGAGAATGAGAAATAAGAGAAAAGGAATAATAGTTTAACCGGTATTTTGAATATAATACAAATGTGAATAACTGCTGAATAAAGAAAGTGAAGCTTAGCCGAAGGCAACTCTTCAATAATTATCCATTCCAGCTGCACTAATTATTATTTTATTGTAATCATTTTTTAAATGGGTTTAAAAATACTGAACAGATAATAAATGAGTTTGATGAATTTTATTTTCGTAAGTGGAATTTAATAAAATCTCCAAGATTCTGACAAAAATTTATACAAAAAATAGAAATTAAATCATTATAAATATTTCAAAACTTCGTAAAACATACATGCAATAATAGAAAATTTTCCATCTTTTCTATCCTTTTTACTATTTTGTCAACAAATCAAACAAACAAATTTGACATGGCAGAAAGATGATATTTTCCAGCTTTAGAAGAAGTTGCTTATGTTGTAAACAACTAAATTTGTTATTTTTATTACGACCTTGCACAAATATTTTGCACATCAAATTACTCGTAAATTGTATCGATAATTTGCAGTTATTACTACGACTAAAAATTGATGGTACAAAAAGAATTTTACTTTGAAGCAAAATTGAGTTTCAAATATATGACATAGTGGAACAAAATTTGATCAGACAGCCTTTTAATTGTTGTCATATTAGTACATTTGAAACTCCTTAAAGTTCAAAATTCAAATACAGGATTCCAATCAAACGATTTAGGCAAAAATTTGAATACACTAACAAAACCGTATCAATAAATTTCAGTAAGATATAAAATACAAAACGCGCATAAGGATACTGGTAATAAAATTTGAAGTGAACTGGGTCACTTCCCATTTTCAATAATGCGCGTTTCTCACCGTTTCAGAGTAAAACTAAAATGTCCAAATAATTTCAGCAAATGAATGATTATTCCATCTCATCTCATCTTCTCGTCCTCCTACAAAACGTTTCATACGACTAATTTTTTGCGCGAAAGTGATCAGAATCATTGTTGTTATTGATATTTTCGAACGCCAAACAATGATCAATTAGGTTATGTGTGCGCGACTATAACAATGGTTTTCCTAGCTTATTTGATCATTATGTGAGATCACATAATAACTTTTTGAATGAAACATTTTTCATTTATTTATCAAAGACCAATCAAAGGTTTTTTGAACAAGTTCTGGAAATTGTTCTTCTTCGATGGGACTGAAATTAACTCTGAGATAACAAATATTCCAGATGAAGCTTACTGTTAAAAATATATAATGCCTAGGCTGAAGCAAGAAGTTACTAATCTGTATTCTGCTTTTTATATTCGTAAACTTTTCAGCATTTGACTTGCTAAAAATTTTTTCTTGTCGTTAAAGATTGTTGCACATTTAATTAATAGAAGATTGTTTCATTTGTGAGTAAAACAGTTTTTTGCTTATTTACTTATTCACTCGAAGTTTTCCTTTTTTCTTTTTGAAATTCTTCATTTATTATTCCTATCCAATCACTCTTGGAAGATACAAAATTTCCAACAAACATTGAATTTAATTTATTGTAAAATATATGCTAAATTTTCAAGGTGGCAACGAAAAAAAAAACCAGAGGACAAATATTTTGAAAATAGCTTTCATAATAGTTTTTATTTACAGAAAACATCTAAATGATAAATGCAATATTTTGAATCAGAAGTTTGGATTGAACTTCAATGAAATTTTATTTCTGGGAAGAATAAGTTATTTTTCCATTTTCTTGAAAAAAAAAGGAAGAAAGTTATATTCTCAATATATCTCATAATGAACTCTCTGTTAAAATGAAGAATTTTATTTGATCTCAAACTGAATACCATTTCTCCACGAAATTGAGGTTACAGAGATTTGTCGGCGCAGCTGACCTAATTCTATTCAATCGTCCAATCTTCAATATTACATTAAATTACCCTATCCTCATCGTTCCTGGCTAACCTGTAAAACTGCTTAATTTTCTGACTTTTTAATTTTTTAATTCTTAATTTGCATTTCAGATTTCTAAGACTCATGATTTTATCCTTATCTTTGCTGTATTTATTATTCGCTATTTCTACTGGTAAATTTCCATTTTTATATTTTTTATAGACTTCTGCCACAATATTGAAAATATTGGAGCAAGATTTTGCTCTACTGATTTTGTTTTGAGGAGGAAGAATGAGTTTGTAATTTTGTTTATATAAGAAAGAAAAGTGACTTCATGGAACGCCTTGCAACTTTATCCAATAGTTCTTAAATTTTCAAATGTTTCGAGATCTTTAATTGTTCATTTTGAAATTATATTAGCAGGCTTATTGTTCCCAACTATAAATTAGTATTTGAGTTCAGAGTTTTGATGATAAAGTGTTGCAGTACTTTCTTCAACATCTTTAGAAGATATTTAATTTATTTTTTTAAGGTAGAAATTACGACAAGCCAGAAAGTAATCCAAGACATGCTCCTATCGTTCCTTGGTCGAAATATTTGACTATCGACAACAATATAATTAATCAAGCAATGTCCTCGCAAGAATTATCCACTAAACACCAATTATCCTTGACATCGCTGAAAGGTATTAGGGACAAGGATGTGGTTAAAGGTGATATAATAAAATCAAATCCTTACTTCCGTCAGCACAGCACATACCGCAGTGATCACAATACTATATTACCTACCAGTGTTTATAATCAGAACGCCAGAGTGATAAATCGTTTACGACAGAAGAATCATACAGGAGCTAATGTTCATCAATTAATTCCGGCTAATTCGAACTTTCAGTACTTTCGAATACCGTTAGTTTGCATTAAATTTTGAATTAAAATTCTTTAGATATTCTCTCAGGTTTCGAATCACTTTTGCCATTAATCACTTTAAAGTTTTATTCATCCGGGCTATCACAAAAAAACTACTTCAGAAAGTTAACTGAACTAAATCTTATCTTTCGAACTAAATTTTAAATTTGGTTACATAGCGAAAAAGTTTGAAAGAATGAAAATCTTTTTTAGCCTTCTAAATCCATCTTACTAAGGAAAATTTGATCTTTCAGCAATATTTCAAAGTTTTAAGTCTTTATGGGACGATTCAAAATTAATGATCGAACGATATTCAAATACAATAACTATTTGTAGTACTTTTAGTACTGTTTAGAGTCCACTTCAGAGGTCATCCAATGACATGGTCATCACCCGATCTACAAGTGACACGACTGCACGCAGCAAATTCATTCCAACCATTCATTCCTGCTGCCAGTAATGCTACCAGGTATAATATCAATAATTTCAGCAGTATGGCAATGATTTATCTATAGAATTGATTTGAAGTGGGTTTTATGAATTTCATAGTTTAAATCTGAATCGTCAAATACATTTTGAGAAAGTTATGATAATGATACTGTCAGACAGGTCGATATCAAACGCTCATTTTTCACGACTTACTCCTTCACAAGTCCTGTTTATTCCACCCTCAAACGCAGTCCTGTCTCAGGCTCAATCTCAAACCATGCTTTCACCACTTTCCTCCACCATTGCTGGTATAGAAAATTTGCATGCATTTGGTGCTAGTGTTGCATCATTTCTGTCTTCACGTGATATGGTGGAGAGTTTTGCGAAATTTGCACAAAATTTACTCAGATTATCAACTTCAAATCAGGTATTCCTCACAGAATTGCGGATCTCATTTGTAAATGATTAAATTTTTTTAAAAAGAAAATTTTTTAGACTTGCATGAGATATAGCAAATATCACAATAATCTAATAGGAAACGAACCTGGAAAATTGACTTGATAAGTTGAGTCTTTCGAATTCTTTAATTTTTGCATTATATTAGTAAAAAATCTAAAATTTGATTTAATTATAATCAGCCTGATAAAATTTTGCCATCATTGACGTCAGCGGTAATTGGCACGAAATCCTTTATTATACCAAGTAATGGCGACACTGCAGCATCAAATGGGACACCGTCTAGTATATTCAACTTTCAACAGGTTTTTACCGAATTAGGTAATGATATCTTATGAATTGATATATATATATATATATATATACAATCATTTAACAAAAAAAAAATCAGTGATCTTAAAATAGTTTCTATTGATGCTGATTTCATTCTCCAAACATTTGAAAGAATTTTTCGGCTCAGAATATGATTAATTTTCATCATCAGTTTGCAGCAAAAAAAGATTTCCCGATTAGAGATATTGGAAATGGTACGTTCTATGAAAACGAAACCGAAATTTTTTTGAATACTCTGCCAGAAGAGCAGCGATCTCTTCTGCAAGCGGCAATTCAAACCGGAGAACTTGACACACATACCTTACGATCCACCATTGGGTTTGTTTTACTCATTCATTTTTATCGGTCAGTTAAAACTTCCAAAGTCGAAAATGATAAATGCTTCGCAGTGCTCTTTCTAGAAATATCGGTAATAAAAGGAAGCAAAATGAAGGAAAGCTTCTGGAATGGATACAGGAAAATCGAAAGAGAACTGCGGATGAAGTACCTGTTTCAACTGTTAAATTACCATACTATGGCCAATATTGTGGCAGTTTTGTTGGTCAAGTAAGTTGGGTTAAAATTTATGAAATTAGCATTTTGTTTCCATTAGATGACATTTATCAACAAAGCATACAAATACATTTCAAAGACAAAACAATACTGATAAAAGGTTGAACTTCAGACCGTCGAGAGCAGTCGCTTCAATGCGGCGGGTGCACTGTGGGCAGTTGACAACCGAAGATTTATTGTTTCAAAATTTCACTTTAATCCTGGAACCTCGCTGATTGGTAAAGCATGATTTACTCACTCATTTATGTGAATTTCTCTTATATTGTGAATAATCAACGGATATTAAAGAAAACTTAGAAGAAATTGTCTTTTTCACAAATATTCCAAAATTTTTAGAAAATGTAACCTTCTGGGTTGGCCCATATGAGCGAACTAGTAATAGTGTAACCGACATGACTCCTAACGCTAATGGCTTCTACTTAAAACCCGAACCTATCAATTTCACCACCTTTTACAAACCAGATATTCAGGTACGTTAAATTACCATAATGTCTAAATTCAGGTGCGCTAAATTATCATATAGTCTGCATTTTAATCCGGAAATTTTTTTTGCATTTTTAAAAATGTCAACACTTATCGATAGATATTGGACAGCACTGGAATTAATTGGTATGCCTTTGTAGATTGTGGAGGCACGTACTCGTTCAACGTCAACCTTACGCATTGAGCGAAATAATTTTCATACTGAATTATCTGATAAGGATACGGTCCAAATATTTGATAGATATATGGAAACTAAAGAAAACGATAACAATTCGTTGGTGCGACCTTTTGGGAAAGTTTGAAATAATTGTTTGAAGTAGCTGAGAGGTCGATTTTGCTGTAAATGTGAAATTTCCAATTGAACTATTTAAGAAGGAATATCCTTTTGAATGAAACGTGTTAAAAGAAGAAACCATGGAAAATCAAACTGTATTAAAGAAATATTCTAATAAATTTATGTTTTTTTGTAAACTTTTTTTCAGGAAGAAGTTCCAATTACGGATAACTTAGACAGTAATGATTTTTTCAAAAGCAATTTCACCACTACTACAATTTTTTTCAAGTACTTACTTTGAAATCAAACTGTAGTTTGAGATTGCTAAATTTGAACGCAAATTGAACTTTATCGAATAAAAATTTAGTGGAACCAAAGAAATTATTAATGCACGAAGTGCGTCAAATAAAGATAACAATATGGAAGCGCTTGGATGGTATGCTGGCTTTCAGCCACTTTTATTAACTTTACCGGATAACAAAGGGATCAAAACGATTAATTGGTTCGCTTTATGGGATCACAAAAGACAAGTGGGAATTTTTTTCTTACAGTTTTTAAGTTCAAAAAGCATAAGTTGTATTCTTTATAAAATTAATTTCAAAATTGCGAAACGTTATGATTTCCAAAACTTGCTAATATTGCACTTTTTTCGCGCTGGTAGTAAAATTTCCTGAACAATTTCTTATGCAGAGCGTTATTGCATATGTATTGATTCCAAATGGACCAGCATTTAAAATACCAGCAGTTGTTCAACTTCGAGGTCTAACCCCCAATAATCCATATAATGTAAAATCGGGATATATCAAGGTTTGTACCGAATTTATTAGTAATTGTCAAACTAGGACCAATATCTGCCTCAGATATTTATATTCTTATCAGTTGGTTTTTTCATATTCTGATATTGCTAATTATTTTAGATTCTCGACACAAAAACCATTGAAATAAACAAATTTTACTATAGAAGTAATGGTTTAGCAGCTTGGTTTGTTGTTGGTAAGGATATTCTACCAAACAGCAATGGCAATATAGTACCAATTTATGATAGGTATGATATCTCGAAATTGGCGTACTTCAAAAATTTTATTTTGAACCTATTAGCAATCCCTATAGGCATGGCGTATCGTCGTATTGCTTTTGTCAAGATTCTTTAGTTTGATTTGCGCTTACAATTTATCATGAAAATGTGAATTTGGCTGTTGTCTAAATTGCTAAAAAAAATTTTTCGATGAACAACCATTTTTTCTTATCAATAAATTAGAACTTCAATATGATTTAAAATATATTATTTGCAGAGTAAATAATATCTTTGACTGTGATTCACTTAGTGATTACATGAACGAAACGATAATACTAAAGCTTCCGGGACATTTGGACATCAAAGATGTCTTTTGGTTTTCTGTTTTTTCTATGGAACGAAGTTTATCGTTATCACATCTTTATTTTCCATATAACGACATGCATTTACCTCCTGATTTAACCGACATATCAGTAAGATGAATTTGTAATTGTTTTAAGGCATGTCAAAGTTTCGCGCTTCACATCCTAAGATGTTTACTGGCCTAAACCTACCATTTTAATACAACAATAAAAGAAGTTTTTTCTTTAAAGTTCTTGAAAGGAATTATTAATCGCAGTGGGACAGTTTCACTTTTGAATAAAGTAAAAACGTTGAAAGCTTTCAAATTCATCACTGTTAATGATTTTTTTAATTTTCACCACTGTTAATTTTCTGTAACATAACTAGCTGAATATTATTTCTAGAATTTCTGAATATTTTAGGCACCAAATTGTATTTGGAAAGGCAATTAGAACAATTCTCAGACTCAGACAGTCCAGTGAAACATCAATTGCAATAGAAGACGGAATGCTTTAAAGGAGAAATTTATTACATTATTATTTATTATT